CGAGCCCAGACTTTGATGCGGCCTCCGAGACGAGACAGAAACAATGCAGAATGTTTCTTTTCAATCTGTCTACAACTCAATGTTTGTATACAACTTTGACATGTTTTCTTTTCAGCAATTTCCTTCTCGTGTGTCAGAACATGTGTCTCCGGTCAGAGACAAAACACCATGAGATGGAACAGCTTCATATACAGTGCCTTGCGAAAGTATTCGGCCCCCTTGAACCTTTCAACATTTCGCCACATTTCAGGCTTCAAACATAAAGCTATAAAGTGTAAATTTTTTGTCATGAATCAACAACAAGTGGGACACAATCGTGAAGTGGAACGAAATTTATTGGATAATTTAAACTTTTTTAAACAAATAAAAAACTGAAAAGTGGGGCGTGCAATATTATTCGGCCCCTTTACTTTCAGTGCAGCAAACTCACTCCAGAAGTTCAGTGAGGATCTTTGAATGATCCAATGTTGTCCAAAATGACTGATGATGATAAATAGAATGCACCTGTGTGTAATCAAGTCTCCGTATAAATGCACCTGCTCTTTGATAGTCTCAGGGTTCTGTTTAAAGCGCAGAGAGAACCATGAAGACAAAGGAACACACCAGGCAGGTCCGAGATACTGTTGTGGAGAAGTTTAAAGCCGGATTTGGATACAAAAAGATTTCCCAAGCTTTAAACATCTCGAGCACTATGCAAGCAATTATATTGATATGGAAGGAGTATCAGACCACTGCAAATCTACCAAGACCCGGCCGTCCCTCCAAACTTTCATCTCAAAAAAGGAGAAGACTGATCAGAGATGCAACCAAGAGGCCCATGATCACTCTGGATGAACTGCAGATAACTACAGCTGAGGTGGGAGAGTCTGTCCATAGGAAAAACAATCAGTCGTGCACTGCACAAATCTGGCCTTTATGGAAGAGTGGCAAGAAGAAAGCCATTTCTCAAAGATATCCATAAAAAGTCTCCTTTAAAGTTTGCCAAGCCACCTGGGAGACACACCAAACATGTGGAAGAAGGTGCTCTGGTCAGATGAAACCAAAATCGAACTTTTTGGCCACAATGCAAAACGATATGTTTGGCGTAAAAGCAACACAGCTCATCACCCTGAACACACCATCCCCACTGTCAAACATGGTGGAGGCAGCATCATGGTTTGGGCCTGATTTTCTTCAGCAGGGACAGGGAAGATGGCAAAAATTTATAGGAAGATGGATGGAGCCAAATACAGGACCATTCTGGAAGAAAACCTGTTGGAGTCTGCAAAAGACCTGAGACTGGGACAGAGATTTATCTTCCAACAGAACAATGATCCAAAACATAAAGCCAAATCTACAATGGAATGGTTCACAAATAGACGTATCCAGGTGTTAGAATGGCCAAGTCAACGTCCAGACCTGAATCCAATCGAGAATCTGTGGAAAGAGCTGAAGACTGCTGTTCACAAACGCTCTCCATCCAACCTCACTGAGCTCGAGCTGTTTTGCAAGGAAGAATGGGCAAGAATTCCAGTCTCTCGATGTGCAAAACTGATAGAGACATACCCCAAGCGACTTGCAGCTGTAATTGCAGCAAAAGGTGGCGCTACAAAGTATTAGCGCAAGGGGGCCGAATAATATTGCACGCCCCACTTTTAAGTTTTTTATTTGTTAAAAAAGTTTAAATTATCCAATAAATTGTGTTCCACTTCACGATTGTGTCCCACTTGTTGTTGATTCTTGACAAAAAATTGAATTATTATATCTTTATGTTTGAAGCCTGAAATGTGGCGAAATGTTGAAAGGTTCAAGGGGGCCGAATACTTTATATACACATTTATATAAACATACAGTACATTCTATCTTCTTTACTTCTACATTTCTCAAACATTCAGATTTTGGACACACAAAGATGCTTCACATTACATTATTGATTCCCTACGCTATGGTGGTAAACTACTTCTGTAGGCACCGCTGCCCTGGGACAGACTACTGACTCTGTGCCATTGAAGCGCCACGAATCATTCCTGCACCAGACTCATACTCGGCCATGTGGGTGAGGTGTCTCGCCCAAGAACAGAGCCCGTTCCCAGAGGTCTCCCATCACAATACTAACCAGGCCCTGCCCTGCTTAGCACCGGAGATCTGTCAGGTTCAGACATTCACCTGCAGGTTTAGCCACGATATTAAAGGAGCAATATGTAAAAAATGTGGCCAAAAGTGGTACTACGGCCTCTCCCACTCTCCCTGACTCAGGTTGCCAGATATGCAGACGAATCCAGCTGGGACCATAACTGCTGAATAGACAAGAGTTTTGTCAACAACAAATCTATAACCAACACCTTTTTCACAAAAATGATAACAGATTAGGGCCCTTTAGTGATGACAGATTAGGGCCCTCAAATTATGACGGATGAGGGACCTTTAAGGATGACAGATTAGGGCCCTTTAATGATGACTGGACACGAAAATCTTACACATTTCTACTTTACAATGTATGTTTCTCTAGGATTACAGCTAAACTCTGTAATAACAGTTTATCTACATGAATACAATGGGACTATTACTACTAGCGGGAACATTTTGTCAATCTTATCTAAAGTTCTGAAGTATGTGATATTAACCTGTAATAGTTAAATAAATCCCACTCCTTCCTGTGTGGTCCCAGAGCCTCCTGCTGTAAATCTGACTCTGACGTCTTGAAACTAAACATTTCCGTCCGTGAGTTGTAATCTAGACAGAACCAGGCTTAGCTCTGTAATTTACACCGTCTATAGGTTATAAGGGCTCAGTACGTTAGGGGAGGTCTGGGGGCGGGCAAGCAGAGAGAGGCTCGGTGTGATTTACGTTAGTGAAATCTGAGCCGCAAGAGTTTGTTTAAAAGAACCACATTCTGCAGAACTCTGAGGCTCCGACACAAATTTACTGCAAAAGTTCTGAAGAAAAAACGGTCGCACTTTTAACCCTTTTTAACCCGGGTTATTCCCGAGTCCTTCCAGATAAAAACTCCAAAGTTCAACGGTTCTAAAGCCATTTTAGACGTTTGTAGATGTATGGAGACCACGTGATCACAGGAGAGGGATTGGGCCAAAGCTTTTATAAAGTACTTATGAAAAAAAACATGATCAAACTAGGGTTGTTTTTAATTGAGTTAATTACATCTTAAAAATTAATTACTTGTAATTAATTGCATTTTGAACTAAATGATGCCATATTTTTCTGTAAATGGTTGTTTGGATGGAAAGATAAATGACAGTGAACATATGTTCAGTATTTGTTTATTATAACAACAATAAATCCACAGAAAATGGCATCAACATTATTTACATTTTTAACATTATTCACATCATTAACATCATTAACATTATTAACAACATGAATGTGTCTCCCCCGGATGTGTTTTGACTGGAGACGCGTTGCTGCGCACAACATTAGAAATCCATTCTAAATTAGGCGCAACCTCGCGTCATACGTCCGTCATACACGCGTATAACACTAGTGTAAATATTCCCATTGGTTAACATGTTAAAAAGTTACGTGCATCTGCTGCGCGTACAACGCGTACGTGCTGTAGCGTCTCCTGTGGACATTAGCAGTGAGGCTCCGTAGTGCAGCTTCAGCTGTGTATTTATTACGTGCACAGGTTACACAAACACACGCACACAACATGCAGATAATAGTCCTGTATCGTGTATGAACTTGGATCACGTTACTGCGGCGCTCACAGCCGCTGTAGGTGGGAACGTCTGTGCAGAGCGGCCGCAGCTGCCCCGGGTCAGAACGCTGCAGGACGAGGCAGACTTCAGTTCCAGTTCATAGCAAACAACAGCAGTGCCCCGCGGTCACGCACGTTTTCTTTATAAACTTGAATTCCCAGAGACCTGCTCTGTCTACTTCTCACACACGTGTCCGCGGCTGTGAGTGATATTATGGGATACATGGGCGGGTCACTCTGACATGTTAAGAAATAAGTAAATAATACTTGAAATGTATGTTTTTAAACTAGAATCAAGTCGTTTGGGGCTAGTTTTATTCTAGTATTTTCAGAAATCTCAAGTCATATTTTCTTGTTCTTGTGGCAGATTTTTCTCATGCTTCATGTGAGAAAAATGCCATCTTTGCAGCAGCCAATAGGAACAAAGAACACTGAGGTCTTTAAACAGCCAATAGGAACAAAGAACATGGAGGTCTTTAAACTGAGATTGTAAACGGTCGGAAGTGGAAAATGAAACTGAAATAGAGAAGACATTTACGTATGAGTCAAACATGTTGCTTTTTCCACCGATAAAGGAGGAAAAATATGATAAATGCCAAAGACAAATTGTTTCCATCGTTTTTGATGAAACCATTAGATTTTTACCACTTCAAAAAACATATGATTTTAGAGAAACATGCGGGAACCAAAGCAGCTTTTAAAATATAAAAACCAGGAATCAAAGTGGAGGGGGATAGGGTGGTTTGCTGCTGCTCTTGTGTGGTCTCCTCTCTCCCCCTGCCTCTCTCTTTCTATCCTTTCTCTCTCTCTCTCTCTGTGTTTCTCTCTCTTTCTCTCTGTTTCCCCTTTTGTCCTGCTCTCTCTCTCTCTGTTTCTAGCCTGGCCTCTCTCTTCCTCCTCTTCCATGTTGTGACTGTAAGCCCATCCCTCTCTCTCTCTCTCCCTCTCTCTCTATCCCCCCTCTCCCTCTTGACCTCCCCTCCCCCTACCTCTCTCTCCTCTCCCATATTGTGACTGTAAACCCATCCCTCCCTCTCCCCCCCCCCTCTCTCTCTCTCCTCCCCCCTCCCCTCACTCTCTCTCCCTCCTCTTCCATGTTGTGGCTGTAAATCCATTCCTCTCCCCTCTCCTTGCTCTCTCCTCTCTCTCCACCCCCTCCCCTCACTCTCTCTCCTCCCTCCCTCCCCCCCTCTCTCTCTCCCTCCTCTTCCATGTTGTGACTGTAAGTCCATCCCTCTCTCTCTACTACAACTCCACACTTCAGTGAGTCTGTAAAAGTCCCTGAGCTCCATCAGACACAGAGACCATGGAGCTGAGGGCCCCTGTTCTCCTGCTCCTCCTCAGGGGCCTCCTGCTGAGAGCTGAGGACTGGGCCACGGAGCACGACAAAGGTGAGGACATGGCAGGACACTTTATGTTTTATCTTAACTGTAAAGACAAAGGGACAAAGAGGAGAAGAAACAAACTTATAAAACTGATCATTTTGGAATGTTATTGGGCTTCATTTTTTTCAATACAATACTGTAGTTTTTGGGCAATTCTAAAGAAGACACACACAGACAGACAGAGACACACACAGACAGACAGACAGACACACACAGAGACAGACACACACACAGACAGAAAGACACACACACAGAGAGACACACAGACGGACATAGACACACAGAAAGACAGATACACAGACAGACACAAACACACACACTTAAATTACCCCCTGTTGATGGTAATTACCAACTGGCTGTGGGAGTTACATTAACATTTTAATTGACTAAAATTCATAACATTTTGTTTTCACAACTTTGTAACAACTGTTGGTTTGTTTTGTTTAGTTAAGTTTATTTTAGTTAAGTTTATTTAGTTTAGTTTAGTTAAGTTTATTTTAGTTAAGTTTATTTAGTTTATTTTAGTTAAGTTTATTTTGTGTTGTTTAGTTTAGTTTAGTTTGCTTTGTTTTGTTTTCTGAGAGACTATCACAGTTTCTATAAAATATGTTCAAGAGTTTTATTTCGGACTTTAATTGAACTTAAAGGTTTAAAGGAGGATTTTCCCAAAGTTTAAGAAAGAACCACTTTCTCCAATTTTTCAACCAAACTCTCTGCTCTTATTGGACGAGCACGTAGCACTAGAATGATTGACAGTTGGGAGGACCAATTGTCTTGAAGATCCACCTGGAAGTAGAAAATCCTCCTCTATAGCTATAACATACATTTGAGATGAGATGAGTTTTGTAATTCTCCACCTGGTACGACCATTGTATATGTATGTATTTGTTACCAACAGTCCACATTATGTTGAACTGTATCTGGAAAACTATGTATGTCAGTTTATTTGTATAGCACAAAACAGCAGCAGACAAACAACATAAAATAAATACTGTATTTTTTGGATTATAAGTCACAGTTTTTGCCATAGTTTTATATTTTATTTACTATAAAATATCAGATAATAGCCCGGGCTGTTATTAAGCTGTTAGTTCATTGACTTCTGCTGTTTTCGATGATTTCACTGATTCTCAGAACCCACAGAATATTATGTGCTATGAGTATGTAAACTATGAAACCAGATTCTGAAAAACTGGACTGTCTACTTTCATCAGCAAAAATAAGTTTGTTTCTCGTTAGTTTTGTTTTCCTGTAATCCCCGGTCAAGAAGAGGAAAGTTTGACAGAAATCACTGTCTCAGACAAATACGTCAATGGCAGTTAATGAGTTAAAATCACAGTCTGGAACTCTAAATTAATTACAAACTTTTAAGAATTGTATTAAATTGACCTCATGGCCTTAAATGTTAATATAAAATAAGTCATTTTATGAATTCTAATATTACGGGTAAGTCCCGCCTTCCCTTCTCTTAGCTATAGCTCAAAATCCACGATGCCGTCCACTTTAACCAATCAAGTCATGCCAAGGGCTGTCAATCATCGGCCTCGTGCTTGTAGCTGCTCATGCTCAGTTGTTTCTTTTCACTGAACCTATATCCATAATAATGTATATACTGAAACTATATCCATAATAATGTATATACTGAAACTATATCCATAATAATGTATATACTGAAACTATATCCATAATAATGTGTATACTGAAACTATATCCATAATCATTTATATACTGAACCTATATCCATAATCAGATCCTCTGCAGATGTGTCCCATTAAATGTTCAATTAATGATAAAGGCTACTTCCGGGTTTACCGCGATCGCTTTTTTTGTGCATTAAAACATTATTTTTGTCATGAAAACGTGAACAGATAATTCTGAAAACCTTTGTGCATGTGAATTAATAATGTATATGTATAATATGTTCTCCGATTAACATTGAAACGTGTTGATTGATTGTTACGGAAACGTAGGCGTAGACCAATCAAAAAAGAAGGGGGAGGAGCTTGGGTCGTTTTTGCACCTCTCTCTTTTTTCTGACAAACTCCAGACAATCACTTTAAGAGAGAGGGGGTTGTATCATTCGACCCATTTTTCAGTCTTCTGTCTGTATTAGGAAATGCATTTTGGTCAAAACTCACAAACTGTAAATCATTTTCATCAAAGGTTATTTTCTCATCTACTTTTATAAACAAGAGCAGATTTTACCAGACTTTACACTAAAAACATAATATCGGCGCTAAACTAACCCTTGCTTTCTTGTGAGACTTGATGCGACTATGTTTTTTTATTTCTTTATTATTCTTTTTTGGCAGGAGCGACTTACACTTATAAAAATACGGTACAAATACAAGTAAAAAGTAAAACTCAGTTGGTGTTAAAAGGTGTAAAAATGTGTCTTTAGACCAGACTTAAAAACCTCTGAAGAAGAAGCTGCTCTTTTAGACAGAGACTAATAATTACAGAAAATGATAATCTAGATTAGGTTTTGTTATATTCTAACCAACTTCTCTGTAGATAAAATGTGTTACGATTCAGAAGGAAAAACAAAATCTCGTAGCAAACAAAAATGGAAAATTAAAAAAATGAGTCAAAGAATGAGCAACATGTGGTTTGTTCTTTCCAGAAAAAGCAGTTTTGGCTGAGTTTTTGGCTGATTCACTAAGTTTCTGTGAGTTTAACAAAAGGGACTGACTCCTTAAACTGTCTCCTTTTGAACCGATGTGTGTTAAGATGAGATCCTTTATTTGTCCCACAGTGGGGAAATTTCAGTGTTGCAGCCATAGACTGTATATATTAACGGACAGTCACGTCTATCTCCGCTGTTCTAACTAATGGGCCAAAAAATGTACTTAACTGGAGCAATCCAAAATGGCCGCGAGTGGTCCCGCCCACAAGAAAATTGTGAAAAAACGCATCTGCGCATGCGTCAGCCGGCGCAGCTCCATTCATTTGAACGAGAGACTTCAAAAATTCACAGCAAGTAAACTAGAGTGGTCCAAAAATATATAATATAAGCCAATGCTATATGTTAGCATTGGCTAATTCTTCTTCTGGGTCCACCCCCATCGGGCCGGGGTGGTATTGCAAGCATGTCAGCGCGTGTCATTTTGGCCACTTTTGAGCCGAAACCCGCCCCCACTGGTTGCAGCGCACGGACATGACAGTAGTAGGAGACACAGGGAGCACACTAGCCTGGTCTTACCGTACCATAGTACTCATTTCATTTTGTACTAAGGTCTGGATTTGCTCCATTGACTCCGTCAACAGGTGGGAGGGGTTAACTCCTTTTGCAGATTGAAACGATTGGATCTGAGTTTACTGTGACGTATGTAATGAGCCCGAGTGAGTGAGGCATTTAGCATTTAATAATGCATCAGCCATATAGCGCTTTTTTGGACACTCAAAGACGCTTTACATGTCATTATTATTTCTCTCCAAACATGGTGGTGATAAACTATTAATGTAGCCACAGCTGCCCTGGGGCACACTGACAGAAGCGAGGCAACCAGTCTGTGCCATCGGCCCCTCCGACCACCACCAACCATTCACACACACACCAGACTCATTGTAATGTGGGGGAAGTGTCTTGCCTAAGGACACAACAGCAGTTTGGCACTTTACAGCAGCAGCCGCCCCACTGTGGCACCTGCTGTTCCCAGAGGTTTAGTGTCTTGCCCAAGAACACAACGACAGCAGACATCAGTGGGAGTCGGTGGAGAAAGTCTTGAGGTGGGCACGAACGCACGACCTTCTGGCTCAAAGGCCAACGCCCTACCAACTGTGCTAGTGTCGCCCTCATTTAGCCTAGCTTTAGCATTTAGCCTTGCTTTAGCCATCTCCTTTGCCACTAACGGAGTCTGTGGGGGGTAGCGCCACAATCTTTGCCAGCGATTACATTTGCTAAACATTCCTCTTGCTCCGGCTTCAGGTTCTTGATAGAACCAGACCGGAATACTCGCACTCTTCACCAAACTTCAACCTGCTCGTTCGATGCAAACTCTTGACGTCACCCACATCTAACTACAACACCCGCCTCCCACACACTCTGATTGGTCGGATGGAATTCAACTGATAGTAATCACAAACACAGGGACCAGACCCAGACGTTACATGCAGGAAAGGATTTTTGACCGGAGTGTACGGATGGATAAGGCTGGGCTAGGAGCATACACAATGCACAAAATAAGTAGCTGCTGTTTCGCAGCTGTAAATGCTTCAAAATCTGTCTTTCAAAAGTATTTAAGACAGAGAGTTTACAAGAAATGTGTTTTCTGTGGAAGATAAATGACTGTTTGATAGTGACCTAAAACACCAGTTTATGTGTGTATTTGCATTTTAAGTTCAGATTCAGATTCATTTATTTGCCATTTGCAGTAAAACCACATTGGAATAGATTTACAAAAGTCCCCAGTGTGCACAAGACAAGTACACAAACAAAACAACATTAAAAACACAGAAATGAAACAAACAAAACTGTAAACAACTGTCTCTGTGAAATTGATCAAGTAAAACGATTTCGATACAAGTTCAAGATCATTAAAGTGCTCTGTTCAAACTGATTACAGCTTGTTGGAAGAAGCTATTAGCATGTTAGCAAATCCAGATGTCCTCCATCTACAGTATGTGACTATTGAGCCATTATTCTCCATTTATGTATCTATTTGTATTGATTGGATGAATAGTTTTGGAGAAATAGTAGTAAGTAGTAGTAGTAATGACTGGAAAAGTATCACTCAGAAATTAAGGCCAAAAGTGTTTTCCTAGCCTTTGTTGAGCTTTTGTCACGTGGACCATCAGGGCTCAGCAAAACATCTCAGGTCGATCCTTTTGGACTGTAACAAAAAGACTAGAGTTAAAAACATGCTGTAATATATGTGTGTGTTTGTGTGTGTGTGATGTGTGTGGGTGATGTGTGTGTGTGTGTCTGATGTGTGTGTCTGACATGTGTGTGATTTGTGTGTGTGTGTGTCTGACATGTGTGTGTCCTGAAACAGAGGAATACGATTACGAGCGAGACCCTTCGTTCTGGGACGCTCAGGCTCGTCACTCATTGGACGCTGCGCTGAAGCTCCGCCCACTGCAGCATCGAGCCAAAAACATCATTTTGTTCCTGGGAGACGGTAAGAAACCACTTCTTCGTAACCTTCAATGGGAAGTTTAACGTAAAGATAATTGAAAACGGCCAATAAAAAAATTCTCACTGGCCAAATTTGGTTCCTGGGCCTGAGTTTGACATGCCTGCTATAGAGTAGATTGTTATATACTGTATGCGTTTCTATAGTGCGAAAATCATCTGATGGGTTAGGGCAGTGATTCCCAAATCCCCCTTCCCCCCAAAAAATGAGGATATGCACATTTTGTTTTCAGAGTGTATTGCAGTTTATTTCACACAATTTAATTTAATTAGTAATGAATAAAAAGCTCAGCTCTAACTGCAGATTGTAATGTGTCACTAATGTGTCCATAAAGAGTCATTTAGCCTTCTGTATTTTCGTTCATTAATTCGTCCCGTGCCCCGCTCTTTGGGAACCACTGGGTTAGGGTTTGATCAGGCATGTCCAAACTAAGGCCCGGGAGCCATTTGCGGCCATCTGTGTCTTCTCATACAGCCCTCTGCCTCTCTAACACAAAAGTAGTCTTTTAGATCCTGAAGACAATGTCCCATTTAGTTAACAGCTTTGATGGTGGGAGGGGCCAATGGCGCGCCTCGCGTCTGTCAGTGTGCCCCAGGGCACCTGTGGCTACAGTAGTCTATCACTACTGTGTTTGGAGAGAATAATGACTTTGAGAGTCCTGAAAAGTGCTGAAGAAAACCGATGGATTATTATTATTAGTATTTGGTAACTTTACCACCAGTGCAGAGTAAATCTGTAAACTCTTGCTAACTACATTGAAGCTCAATAATCAAAACTAAAATATCAAATAAATTAAATATTTACCTGTTGAATTTTACAGCAGATATTTTTCCACGTACAGAAACACTTTCTAACTGTGTCATACTCAGCTGAACTATAAATAAGCCTCACACAGAATTGTAAAAATAAAGGAAGCGGCTCAGGGGCTGAATGTCGTGCAGTGAATGAATAGTCTCTTGTGGAGTTAGTTTCAAACAGAGAAAAAATGTTCTGTAAAAATGTTTTTCCGACTAATTATGTGTTGAGTTGAGGCTAATGGTCTTTGACTTTGTTTGTACAGATTTACATGATCTCTGTGTGTGCGGCCGCTGAAGCCAAAAGGATCTAAAACACCTAGACGTCTCCATCTTTATCCTCGTGAACATTTCCCACTCCCAGATGCACTCAGCACTGATCCAGACCTGTCAATCATTGCAGGGATGGGGGTGTCCACAGTGTCTGCAGCCAGGATCCTGCGGGGGCAGATGAAGGGCAGGTCTGGAGAGGAGACGGTTCTGTCCATGGACACGTTCCCGTACGTGGCTCTGTCCAAGGTAAAGGCTCCAGACGGACACCGCTACAAACCCGTTATACTGTACCTATTTTTCTGTCTCCGAAGAACAAACAAATAGACACAGGTCCGGGAAAAACAAACCAAAAAGAACATTTACACAGAACTTTACGAAAAGATGGGTTTATTTGTCTATAGAGGGGCTCCACATGGAAATACTCTCCTTAAAGGATTTATTCTAGCCTGGTCTTACCATACCATTGTACTAAGGTCTGGATTTGCTCCAATGACTCCGTTAACTGGTGGGAGGGGGTAACTCCATTTGCAGATTGAAACCATTGGATCTGAGTTTACCGTGACGTATGTAATGAGCCTGAGTGAGTGAGGCATTTAGCATTTAGCCTAGCTTTAGCATTTAGCATAGCTGTAGCATTTAGCCAAGCTTTGGCCATCTCCTTTGCCACTAACGGAGCCCGTGGGGAGTAGAGCCACAACATCTTTGCTTCAATGACATTTACTAAACCTTCCTCTTGCTCCGGCTTCAGTTTCTTGATATTTGGATTGAACCAGAACAGATTATTTTACTATCGCATTTTCCAACAAACTACAACCGTCAAATTCAGACAAACTCGCGACGTCACCGACACCGACCTAAAACACCCGCCTCTTCCGCTCTCTGATTGGTCGGAGGGAATTCAACCAAGGAAACTGCAGCCACTTGGATCAGACCCAGACATACATGTAGGAAATGATCATGGATCAGAGTTTACACATGGTAAGACCAGACTAGCCGTGGACGGATTCAAATATAAACAAATGTAAACAAAAAATGTATAGATCCAGACAGTGAATGAGAATAAGTAAGGGATAACGTATAATACGCAGGTCATTATCGGAAAATAAGTACCGACAGGGCGAAGCGGACACCGACGCGCAGCGGAGGGGTCTGCTTCCGCCCTGAAGGTACTTATTTTCCCAAAGGCTTTCCCGTGGCTATGCTAGCAACAGATAGGCTGGCAACTTCCAAACTAGAACTCTCTGGAACTGCATGAAAACTGAACAAAGAATTCTGAACATCAGCGGTGAGTGACCCATACATAAACCTAACCTAAATCCATAATTCGATCCTCTGCAAATGTGTCCGAAAATGTGCCGGTATCTTAAAATGTGCCGGTATCTACTTCCGGGTTTTTCGGGATCACCTTTTCTCGCATTACATCAGTGTTTTTCTCATGAAAACGTAAACGGAAAATTCTGAAAACTTCCATGCACTTGTATTAAGACTGGATATGTATAAATTACTCTCCGATTAACATTTCATTGCATTGATTGATTGGCATTTGCGTTTATTGAGCGGCCGGAACTACTTCCGGGTTTTTCACGATCGCTTTTTGACGCCGTTTTTTGTCATGAAGACAAGACCAAAAAATTCTGAAAATGTCCGTGCACGTGTGTGTTAAGTATTCTCCGATTAACAATTAAGTGTGTTGATTGAGCGTGGCTAGCTCCGGAGTGGCCGGAACTACTCGCGGAGTTATCCACGCATTTGAAAGACAAGCAGAGAGTGCGTTGCCACGGGCAGCGGTCATTATTGTTTTGAGAGGTCCGTTATAGAAAATAATGACCGGTAGAACGTTTTGAAATTACATTCAAATCAATGGAGCATTCTACTGCTGCTGTGAGGAGCTGTATAATAAGAGAATATATTACTATTATGAATAATTATTTCTGAAATGGAAAATTGAATAAAAATAATAACAAAAACATGGAGAGTGGCAGGACAGCCCAGGCCTCAGGATGTTTGGATTGTCTTAGTCCTGCTAAGTGCTGCACTTGCTCTGCACTTAACAGGGTTCAAACTCACAACCTTTGGATCTCAAAGGGGCTTTGTGGACGATACAAAGTGACTTATTGACTGGACTAAAGAGAAAACTCACAAAGAAATGTGCGAATCCCCAAGAGTGAAGCTACAGTGTGATCTATAGGGAACAAATAAGTAAGTAATCTTTATCTATACAGCACATTTATAAATAATAAGTGTTAGATAAATAACATACATTGATCTACATTAAGTAACTATTTCCAAAACAACAACAACAGTCTGATTTGTTTGAACAGTTACTACAGTAAGTGAGATTAAACATTATAAGCTTTGTTTAAATGTGTCAAAACGATGAAAGGCCAACGTTCATGACACTGCACTATTTACATTTATTTGACTCCCCACAGCAGCAGAACGCTCCATTTATTTGAATGTAATTAAAAATGTTCTACCGGGCACACATGACAATCAACACATTTAAATGTTAATGGGAGAATACATTATTCATATGTACGGGATTATGTAAACCTGGCAAAAGCCAGATTGATGATTGTGGAGGACTCAAAGGAGTTCACCGCAATATTAATCTGAGACTTTTGCAGGAGAAGGAGGGGCAGGCAGTAGAAAACTTCAAGCTGATTGGGCGAAGTGACGCTGTTTTCCCGCCTACCACAGTTTAAGCCAATCAGGGTTTAAGCCAATCACGGAAACAAATGAATATATCATCATCGGCTTTGGCTTCCAGAAATGCACAAAGTACCTCTCGATGTTCATCTTTAAAAAGAGAAATGGGAGATTCTGCTAAAACTGACTTTGGACAAAGTTAGGATGATGTAGAACGCAGGTCATTATCGGAAAATAAGCACCGACAGATGAACCAGACCCAGACGCTTATTGTTTGAATTCTTACCAGTGTTTAAGTCTGTATTAAGTCTATATTACTGTATGTTGTGACATGTTTCAGACGTTCAGTGTGGATAAGCAGGTTTAAGTCTATATGATGTTGTTGATTCTCTGACCTGTGTTGGTGATTTCAATGGTTTTGTTAAGTCCTCTGAGATGACTTCTGTTGTGACCTAGGGCTATACAAGAATAAATTGTGTATTGTATTGTTGTTTCAGACCTACAGTGTGGATAAGCAGGTAGCAGACAGTGCTAGCACCGCGACAGCATATCACTGCGGGGTCAAAGCTAACGCTAAGACCGTGGGCCTCAGTGCAATGGCCGTGGCCTACGAGTGCAACACCACCTTCGGGAATGAGGTCTACTCTGTGCTACGGCGAGCTAAAGCTAAAGGTAAAGGGCTGTGCTACGGCGAGCTAAAGCTAAAAGGTAAAGACCTGAACACACTGGAAAAAAAAACCTTGAAAAATATATGAAAATAAGTAAAATACTGCTTAGAATAATAAAAATTAACTGAGAATAGAACAAGATAATATGAATTAAGATTTATGAAATAAAATAATACTTTTACTTTTTCTATGTAATATTATCATTGTACAACAGAAAATAAGGGCCACATTTTATAAACTTTGAGAATAAAGTTATAACATAAAGGCGTGCTGTTATGGAAGACAGTTGATAAAATGAGGGTTGTATTGTAAATAATAATATAATTATGACTTTATTCTCAAAGTTTAACATAATTTTCTTCCTAAATGTGACTTACTTCTGCTCCGTCGTACATTGAGCCTGAGAGCCTGCTCCCTGTGTCCCATGTTCAGGTAAATCCCTGTGTTTAGGTAAATCCCTGTGTCCCGTGTTCAGGTAAATCCATGTGTTTTGGTAAATCCTTGTGTCCCGTGTCCAGGTAAATCCGTGGGGATTGTGACGACCACGCGGGTGCAGCATGCGTCTCCTGCTGCTGCGTACGCACACTCTGTGAGCCGCAGCTGGTACAGCGACTCCGACCTGCCGCCCGCCGCGCGCCAACAGGGCTGCGTGGACATCGCCACGCAGCTGGTCACCAACGTGGACATAGACGTACGTTTAAACAGAAAAGAAGATATTCAAGAGTTCTGAAGCTCTGAGGACTGACCCTACAGGACTGACCCTACAGGACTGACCCTACAGGACTGATCTTACAGGACTGATACAGGACTGACCCTACAGGACTGACTCTACAGGACTGACCCTACAGGACTGATCCTACAGGACTGATCCTACAGGACTGACCCTACAGGACTGATCCTACAGGACTGACCCTACAGGACTGATCTTACAGGACTGCTACAGGACTGACCCTACAGGACTGATACAGGACTGACCCTACAGGACTGACTCTACAGGACTGACCCTACAGGACTGATCCTACAGGACTGACCCTACAGGACTGATCCTACAGGACTGATCCTACAGGACTGATCCTATAGGACTGATCCTACAGGACTGATCCTACAGGACTGACCCTACAGGACTGACCCTACAGGACTGATACAGGACTGACCCTACAGGACTGATCCTACAGGACTGATACAGGACTGATCCTACAGGACTGATCCTACAGGACTGAATTTTTGTCTGGACCAGTCTAGTTTAGCCAGCCGCTGTGGACTTTTGTACTTGTGACACTAATACTTGAAATAAAGTAAGTGATTATAGTTATTCACTATCTTCTTGGAGTAAGCGTGTGCCTGTATTTTTATGACCACACCAAAGTAGAACATTAACTCATGTTTATACTATAGTGCAGTGATTACTATTTTCCGCTGAACTCATCATAAAGTTTTTTATCAATTTCATGACCTTAAAGCTGCAATAACTGACTTTATTTTTGTGTTAGTTACAAAAATGCAATCCATATCCATGCAATGCATTGGGATATACGTCCCTTTGAAGAAAAAGTAGCGCAGATTTGTGCTGGCCTGTCATTTAATTTTAGATCGAGTTTTTGAGCAACAAGGAAGAGAATGTGTTTCGGGTCTCAGATTGTGACCAATCATAGCGGACCACTGGCCCCCACTTTCTTGAGAAAATCTACAGGTCTTTTGTTAGCACAGACAGCTGAGTTAGCACAACAAGCGGCGGAGGCTAACCTGAAACTCCCTGTGTCTTCGTTACCAGTTACTGCTTACACAGCGAAACAGCCATCCAAAAGAAAGTCTCGTCCTCTCCGCGCTTCCCGGTTCTATCATTCTATGGTCACGCCATCCACGTTCAAATGTGCAATTCATACATGGATCTATCCATGAGATGCTAGCTCTCTAAACGACAGTGGGTGTGGGGTAGTGGGGGGCGATTGCTTCGTGGGTGCGGGGAGGGGAGGAAAAAGAGCGAGGCCAGCGAAACCGCTGCTTCGAAATCCCAAAGTCAGCAAGGTTTGCAGTATTGCTGCAGGATGAAGTATTATTATAAAAGTGCATTAAGGACATTTGTCTGTAGGCGTTTAAAATAGAAGCCAAAGTTACAAGAAACAAATACACTGCAAGAAAAAAAGAAAAACATATATGAAAATTTAATTAAAATACTGCTTAAAATAGTACAAATGATCTGTCAATAGAAGAAGAAAATAATTTCTGAAAACAATAAAATAAAACTAGCCCCAAACGACTTGATTCTAATTTAAAAACATGCAACAAGTGTTATTTACTTCTTAAACATTTTTTTTATTTTTTCTTAACTTATTTAACTTAAAAATCTCACTGCAACAAACAAAACTAAGCATCATTTATGTTATTTTTTGTGAATAAATCTGACCAAGATGACACATTTAAAGACAATCTAATTCTGTGTTTTGGTCCTGACAGGTGATTCTGGGAGGGGGGAGGATGTACATGACGCCCAAAGGGACCTTAGACCCGGAGTATCCCACCTCCAACTCCCGCAAAGGAGACCGCAAAGACAAGAGAAACCTCATCGACGTCTGGCTCAAAGCACAACCAGTAAGTCCCAGATCATCATTAAAGGGCCCTAATCTTTAACTGATAACAGTAGTTACGAGATATTTGAATTTCTAAATTACTTTTCCAGCCCCTAAATCTTGTTATTGTTTTCATTTTGATGTCCCGCCCTCCACCCTTTTACCAATCAGAAAGTCTGTGATCCGGGCGCCAGAACTGGAGCTAATCTCACTGGTAAAGTACCATGTGGCACAGAACTAAAAAAGGTATTATGATTCTCAAATCATTAACAACAAAACAAGGAAGAAAACCAGGATTTCTATCTTTGTGAAAAAGGTGTTGGTTATAGATTTGTTGTTGACAAAACTGTTGTATTCAGATGTTATGGTCCCAGCTGGATTCGTCTGCATATCTGGCAACCTGAGTCAGGGAGAGTGGGAGAGGCTGCAGTACCACTTTTGGCCACATTTTTACTTATTTCTCCTTTAAATATAATAAATGTTTGATTCTTCCACAGAACAAGAGGTCTCAGTACGTCTGGCACCGGAAAGACTTTGATGAAGTGGATGTGAAGAAAACAGATCGACTCATGGGTGAGTTTAAAGCTTATCTTATCTAAAGATAAAACACATTTTAAAACTGATTTTACTGTCGTCGACTTTCATCTTTATAACTGTTACAAAGTCACTACAGTCAGACTTGTGTATTCATACGTATGCATAAGTCTTATGCATACGACCTATGTATATTATATAAGTGTCAAAAACTGTATAATTAACATTAACACAGAAATATATGTAGTAAATAAAAACAGGATTATTTTGGGTGTTTTAGTATAAAGCTGTACCACACTAAACAGAGGAACAGTATTTGGTCATAACCAGCAACATCAGTATTTTAATTTATTCACTAAATATTGAGAAAATCCTTCATTACAAGGTTTAAAACTTAAGAGGGACCTATTCTTATTATGTTGGTATACTGTGGTCTTTTTTGTGTTAAATAAAACTCATTTTGACAGATAGTTTCACCCTTAGCGGTTTTCATGAATAATAATCACACAAAAAGAAATTTGCAGAAAAATTGCCGAGACCGGAAGTGACGTACACGTAGGGGTCATTGGGCTTTGTTGATATGCATTTGTGCCATAACGTTGTATATGGACGTTTTTAAACAGATATTTGTTATTCAGTGATGGACAAGGCGAACCCTTGCGTACTTGTTATGACAGTAATTCTGATTTTGAGGACTCGGACGTCAGTTCAGATGAGGAGCAATCTCCAAGAAATGAACATTTGCGGACATTAGGGCCGCGTCTCGACCCGGTTTGCGGATGCAGTTAACACTTTCCGTTTGTGCTCGCTGGTGGCACCCGAGTGAGTGTAAATAAGTGTTAGCGAAGGTAGCGATAGGGACGAAGGAATGGATATCACGGACATCGCAGTGCAGACAAAAGTAAAAAGCGTAAAAGTGGCTACCCTGAAATGAAAGATCCCAGCCGTAAAAGTGGACAGAACTGAAAAGTCTGGAGGTGTTTTGACAAGATGGATTATTTTTACGGACATCAGCTAACACGCTAACACCAGCTAACATGTCAGTACCTGCAACACAGAGAGAGAGAAGCCTCAACTCTATGTCCCAGCTCCAGATGTTGAGTTTGAGTCTTATACTGAACATGTGTTTGTGGTTCTAAAGTCTTATACTGAACATGTGTGTCACGTTGATGAAAAATAAGGGGACCCAAAATGCAAAAAATAATGGATTTAATTAAAAAATATAACAAATCCAAAACCAGAAAAAAACACAGGGAACAAGAACTGAAACAGACGAGGGATGACAAATGACTGATCAGGGAGTGAAGGAACACACAGGGCTAAATACAAGACTAACGACACACAGGTGATACACATGAGGGCAGGGCAGGTAAGCAGACAACAGGAAGAGCAACCAAAGAAGACACAGGGATTAACAAACTACAAAATAAAACAGGAAATAAATCTAAACCATGACAGTACCCTCTCCTCAAGGGACGGATCCCAGACGTCCAGAAAAACAAAACCTGGGAGGGAGGAGGGGGTTCGTAGGAAGGACCGGGGCCGGGACGTAGAGCCGGGGCCTTGACGTGGAGCCAGGACTGGAGCCAAACAGGTACAGAAGGCCCCCTGGATGGAGAACAATATCCAGCGGAGCCAGGTCAGGAACGGAAGCCTACAACCACCCAGGACGGAGCTAAGTGTCCTGCAGTGGTCCAGGACACAGACAAACAGGGATGCGTCCAGCTCCTGCAGCAACCTGAGACCAGTCGGGGACAAAGGCCAGAGATGACAAAAAATAGAACATAAAAAACAAAAGTTTGTTTGGACCGTCGCCTTCTCTGAATAAGTCAAAGATCGTAGGGACTGCTGTTTACACTCTTCTTTCGGTAACTTTCATTGCTGCATCCCGGGGCCGTACAAAATACCCCTATATTAAGGAAGTCCTTGTTCTTTTTTCTCTACAGTCTTATTTGTGTCGCAGCAGAAGCACAGTCGTAAACACTAAAGCGAGAGCTTCGACCCCTACAACTACGTCATCAATGTTCTGACCAATCAGAGGCGTTCATATTGAAAACTTATTTTACTGATTTATTAATTATCTATAGCACAAAAACACACTGCTGAGGTGGGATATGCATGTTTGTAGTGTGTTTTATATTTAAAAAAATGGTTTTTAATAAGGATAGTTCCCTTTTAAGTGTTGTTGAATGAGTTATTGTTAGTTTGAACTCTTTAGAGCAGGGATGTCAAAGTCAAACACATCAGAGGCAAAAAACACATTTACTACAAGCCGAGGACTGGTTAAATGTTTATTAAAATATATTAAAATGATGCATACAATCTATTGAACCAAGACCTAACACAGTGGGTGTACTTTATTTAATGATTAAATGAATAGTCCAATATTTTTGTGAACATTCTGAACATTTTTCAACAGACTCAAAAACAAACTTCCTTCAAATAGAAAACACACACTTTTATATTTTCTTATGTCTCTGTGCGGCCGGTTCTAAAACTAATCAAATATCATCCCGGGGCCGAGGTCATTCAGTCACGGGCCGGATCTGGCTCCTGGGCCTTGACTTTGGCTCATTTGCTTTGGATGTGAAACAGATAAAAACCCTGACATTTAACATCAATAACAAGAGATTCATACATATAATGAAGGGAAACATTTGTGGGAGGCCAGGTTGCTGTATAGAAAGTGACCTGGATCCAGGAGCTTCTTCTACTGTGGCGTCTAAAGAGTAAAATACAGTATATTTTATGTTGAATGTGTTCCAGGTTTGTTCGAGCCCAAAGACATGAGGTTTGAAGTGTTCCGCAACAGCAGCAGAGATCCGTCCATCGTGGAGATGACAGAAAAAGCCATTCAGATCCTGAGCAAAAACCCCAAAGGATACTTTCTGTTTGTGGAAGATAAGTATAAATACATTTGTATTATTCTGGACCAGGGTTTCCAAACTTTTTCAGTCAGAGCGACTCCTTTTTGCAGTCGTTATAAAACATCAATGTAATAATTACGACAAAACATAGAGAAGGTAAGACAAGAACACTATACTTTTAAAACATAAAAAACGCCGAAGATAAGATACAGATCCTTTATCACAGTGGGTAAATTTCAGTGTTGCAGCGCACAGACTGGACAGTTGTAAGAGACACAGGGAGCACACAAAATATACAAAATAAGTAGTAACTTTGATTCTTAACTAGCTGTAAATGCTGTAAAAAAAAAAAAAAAAAAATTATATATATATATATATATATATATAAATGTAGTGCGGAGTTATATACTGTACAGCAGTTATATAAATACACCATAACACTATAAAACCTTATATTTATACTTATAATAGATGTGTAATGACTCAAAATGTATTTATTCCAGATCATTTGTTAAATTCTAAATCCTAGGCTGGAGAATCCTGCTCTGTATTATATAAAACATGTATAATTGTGACTGTGTTGTGCTCTGTATTATAATAAATGTGTATTTGTGACTGTGTTGTGCACGAGGGAGAATCGACCACGGACACCATGATGGAATCGCCAAACTGGCTCTGACTGAGGCCGTGGTGTTTGACGAGGCCATAAACAGAGCGGGAGAGATCACTGACCAATCAGAGACGCTCACGGTGGTCACGGCCGACCACTCACACGTCTTCACCTTCGGAGGCAACACCCCTCGGGGGAATCCTATCTTTGGTATAATCTATGCACATTACATTACTACACATACTACTAACTCCATCTGAATCTCTCACACTATAAAAAATCTCTTGAAAAAAATTAATATGAAAATAAGTAAAATACTGCTTAAAATAAATTAAATGATCTTTCCAAAGAAGACAAAAATATGACCTTAGATTTCTGAAAATTAATCAAATAAAACTAGCCCCAAACGACTAGATTTTAGTTTAAAAACATACATTTGAATTATTATTTACTTTTTTATTTAAACAAAATTATGTTTTCTTAAACTCACTGCTTACAGACTTTTTTCTCTAATAAGATTATGAAGAATTAGTAGAATAATCTTATGACAAATTACATTCAATAGTTCAAATATTTAAGTTGCAGTAAGTTTGCTAATGTTCCATAATGTTAGATTAGTGACAGGTGATGTTGGGGGAAAATGTTAAAATGTTAAGCCAGCAAAACGAGGGACAGGATTTATTTTCCTTCTGCTCCTATTTGTTTATGTTGCACAAATGTAAAGAGAATATACATGATGTAAGTATGTTATATGACAAATAATTCAATGTAATAAGGACAGGCTCTGGTTAAAGAAACAACAGAGAGGGACTTTAAAAGTTACAGATCTAACCTGTGACTTTACCTGGCTCCTTCAAAAGATACTAAATGAATTAAATGCAAAACACTACTGCATTTAGGCAAGGCAGGTTTATTTGATTAGCACAATTCATACACAAGGCAACTCAGTGCTGAACAAAACAAGATAGGACTAAAATCATAAATAATCACAGTACATTAAAAAAAAGATTCAAATATAAAATCCCTAAGTTAAAACCTTTTAACCTTTAAAACCAGAACTGTTTTTAACCTGGTTTTAAACATTGTCAGAGATGAGGCCTGTCTCACATCTTTAGGAAGATTGTTCCAGATTTTAGCATGAATCTGAAAAGCAGCCTCCCCATGTTTAGTTCTGACTCTGGGACCAGCAGGAGTCAAGTCCCTGTGCTTTAGTTATTTAGTTATTTATTCATTTCAAAACCTGCACAACACAAGATTGAAAAGTCATTTGTGGGAAAGCTCTGGAGGAAACACAGTAGATCGCTTTAAACACAGGTTTCCCATTTTATCATTAACTCAGATTCCAATAATGACCCTGTTGCGTAACAGGTCTGGCCCCGAAGAAAGCCGAGGACAAGATGCCTTTCACCAGTATCCTGTACGCCAACGGCCCGGGCTACGTTCACATAAACGGAACCAGAGAAAACATCACCATGGTGGATTACTGTAAGTACAAACTAATGTTTCTCAGATGTGAAGCCACGAGGCCGAGGCCGGGGGTGGGGCCAGGACGTTCCCCATGACTCACATTTACAACCCTCTAGTCCTGGAAAACTAAAACAATTCCCTGATGTTTATGTGACTTCTTCCTCCTGGTGTTCCGCTCCGTCGGGATTAGCCCTAGCAGGAGCGGCTAACACGGGCTGCGGTGTCACGGTTAAATGGACGTTTAACACCCACAGTTTAGGTCTCTTTTTGGGGAAAGAGTAGCAACAAAAAGGAGTGAAATGTGAAAATGGAAAACAGTTGTGATATTTGTTGTTGGCACCTCACCGTCTCCATGTGGAGGTTTCCATTCGGTGTTTGACGTCAGAGTTTTAAGGTTTTCCATAAACTGCAGCGTACGTTTTGTGTAAGTTGGATTTTATTTACGAAATGTGGAACAAATAAATGGGTAACTTTGGTTTGTCAACACCTGGTTTTCAAAATACTGTGATTTACTTTTATGAGCCCAGTTTAACACCTTCTCATCATAATTAACTTTTATTTATTTAGCACAGTTCATACAGAATGCTTCACATTAGCAACATTTAAAACCAATTTAAAAACACATACAAAAGACGATTGATGAAAACCATCAATAATAAAATGATGATCCACTGCCAGATAGACAGGGTTAGGGTTAGTCACTGCCAGTAGACACGGCTAAAAATAACTGTTTTCAGCCTGGACCTGAATATAGCTATAGGGCAGCAGCCTGTCTCACACCTTTGAGAAGACTGTTCCAGATTCTAGGTGCATAGGTTTGGATCGCTGCCTCCATATGTTTAGTCCTGACTCTAGTCCCTGTGCTGCTCAGAGTCCCAGCAGAAGGCCAGTCCCTGTGCTGTTCAGAGTCCCAGCAGGAGGCCAGTCCCTGTGCTCCTCAGAGTCCCAGCAGGACTACAGACCTGGGGCCGTATGCCTAGAGAGTCCTCTCAGAGAGCTCCAAACTTAACCTAAAAACTCGTAGCTCGGAGTCTTAGCTTAACACTTATTCAAGAACATTCTCATAGAACTTCATGTTGTCCTGGGCTGCACAGTGGCTGAGTGGTTAGCACTCTCGCTTCTCAGCAAGAAGGTCCTGGGTTCGAATCCCGGTTGAAACAGGGCCTTTCTGAGTGGAGTTTGCATGTTCTCCCTGTGTCTCTACCACTAAAAACATGTACAATAGGTCTGTGCCTCCTGTACTGGCCCTGCTCCCATCTCTGTGTGGAGTGAGCGACTGATGCCCACAATTGTAAAAACCTCTTTGTTACTCTGTTCTGTGTAAGGCGCTATATAAATAAACATTACTTACTTACTCTTAGGGATCTCTTTAAAAGTCCTCTCTGCTCTTAAGAGATCCCTCCTTAAGAGATAGGATTCTTTTTGAATAGCTTCACTTTTAGAGAGTACGTCAAGATTCGAAAAATATGGTTAGAGTTTGGCCTTGAGGAGCAACTCTAAGAATCTTTTGGAACACAGCCCCAAGTTTAAAGTCTATTCTTTTATAACCTTCTCTTCACACTCACCAGGAGCAGATTCAGTTGTTGCGACTTGTGTCTGTAGATTTAAACACTGACGGCTCCAATAATTACGTCGTGAGACTAAATGCTGTTTTTATCAGACGGTCTCTCGGCTCATCATGACTTTGAAAAGAAACTTCACACACTGCTCTGTGTTTAGACCGTCACTGTGTTATTAACATGAATTCTTCAAAGCCCATCTGCACAAACTGCTCATTTTCCAAGTTTTCTGTTGGTCGTGTTTGTTTCTGAAAAACACTGAAGGATTCTGAGAATTTTTTAAACCTGATGTATACAAGTCCTCCACACAATTCATTCATTCAATTTCACAAATAGTATTTTCTTTGTTTCTCTGTTTCTCAATCAGGTCGTGCCGCTCTGCTTCATGTGGGCAGCACAGTGGCAGAGTGGTTAGCCACCACTAACCCTTCTCAGTAAGAAGGTCCTGGGTTCGAATCCCGGTCAGAACAGGGTCTTTCTGAGTGGAATTTGCGCGTACTCCCTGTGTCTGTGTAGGTTTCCTCCGGGTGCTCTGGTTTTCCCTACCACTAAAAACATGCACAAGAGGTAAAACTAAGTTGAAAACTGAAATGTCCCCACAATGGGGACATTTCAGTTTGATGAACGCACATACGCATAAACACATAAACACATAAACACATAACACATCAAGCCAGTGAACATATGTTCCGTGCTCTTTTTGGGCAAAGTAGGTTTAAACTTATTAAAATCAACGTCCAGACCATGAACTTTCAGATTCATTTATTTGCCATTTGCAGTAAAACCACATTGGAAAACATCCGCAAAAGTCTTGTGTGCATAAGTACATCATACATTTAATTTCATTTATTCGTTTTTTCCAAAAAACATACCTCCATTTTCTTCCGCGTCTTCCGTTGCCGGGTCGCAGGGGATCCAGAAACCAGCATTAACATAATTTGACAACAGAATAATACAATGTATAGAGATTTGGAAAGAGGGTTGACTGAAGCAAACACTTATATTTTCAACCCCCTCCTTTACACTCCACACTCAGACAGGACATAAAACAAGATTAAAAGGACAGAAATAAAACACAATCATCAGTGTGAAATGGATCGACTAAAACAATTTAAATAAGTGTAAAATCTAGTAACAGCTGAAAATAGCTGTTTGCAAAACGAGATATCCTTCATGTCAGCGAACGATGTCTTCTGCCAGAGGGAAGAAGCTGGATCATGTCTTTCCCAGGGACCAGAGAACTCATGGGTGATTCTAAAAGTTGGTCCTGTTTTGTTCCAGATGATGAGGAGTACATGCAGCAGGCGGCGGTGCCTCTGGACGCAGAGACCCACAGCGGAGAGGACGTGACCATCTACGCTAAAGGCCCCATGGCCCACCTCTTCCACGGAGTGAAGGAGCAGAACTACGTGGCTCATGTCATGGCCTTCGCTGCGTGTCTGGAGCCGTACGAGGCGTGTGCAGCTCACGTCTGCAGCCACAGCTCAGAAACACACACACACAGCAGGGTTGGGATGTGGGTCAGGGGACTGGTGGTCTGCATCACCTGGGTGTGGCTGCTTAGATGACACATACATATACAGACACACACACATATACAAACACACGCACACATACAGACATATATACACACACACACATATACACACACACAGACAGCAGCGTTAGGATGTGGGTCAAGGGACTGGTGGTCTGCTTCACCTGGATGTGGCTGCTTAGATGACACACGCACATATATACAGACAGACACACACACACACACAGACAGACATATACACACACACGCACACACATATAAACAGAGACACACGCACATACACACACACAGACAGCAGCGTTAGGATGTGGATCAGAGGACTGGTGGTCTGCTTCACCTGGATGTGGCTGCTTAGATGACACACGCACATATATACAGACAGACACAAACACACAGACAGACATATACACACACACACACACACACACTTATGAACAGAGACACACGCACATACACAGACAGCAGCGTTAGGATGTGGATCAGGGGACTGGTGGTCTGCTCCACCTGGGTGTGGCTGCTTAGATGACACACGCACATATACAGACACACACACACACACACACACATAGACACCTGGATGTGGCTGCTTAGATGATACACACATATGCAGACACAGACACATACATGCAGACACACACACATACTCAGACACATACAGACACACGCAGACACATACACAGAAAAACACATCTACACACACACAGACTTATACACACACAGACATATACAGACACATACACACAGACCCACGCAGTCACACACACACATAAACGACACACGCTCACACAGACACACACACACTGGAACACAAACTGCTGCACTTTGCATTTCTACAAACTGCTCATCTCCAAAGATACAACATTCATTGTGGGTTTGCAGTAATAATGTCTTTAATACAGTCTATTCATAATGTCACCATGTGACGCCGTACCATGTGTTGCTGTACCATGTGACGCCATACCATGTCACGCCGTACCATGTGATGCCGTACCATGTGACACCGTACCATGTGACGCCGTACCATGTGCCGTTGCTTGATTTTGTTTAAGACCCTGTTTTAACCGATTTTATGTCATGATGTATATGTCCTGATTTTGGTTTATGTAGTATTGGTTCTGGGACATTTGTATATTTTGGATTTGTAAACATAAAATGATATAACACAACAGTTAAAGCTCGGGTACATAACTATTTTTTAAAAGCAATAATAGAGTCTTGTAAAAGTAAACTCAGACCCCAACATGCTGTCTTTCTCTTATGAGAAATTGTATTTTTTATACGAGTGCATTTAAAAAGACGTTTTCCAGAGTAAAGATGACACCATACAAAAGTATTGGGTAATTCTTTTTCTGGGTACACCCCCACCCCCCAGACTTTATTACATATAATTCTGATCTTTTTTAGTTTGAAAGTAAGGTACCCCAGCTTTAACTCTCCAGAGGCCAAGAACCAAGTGTTGAATTAATAAATAGTTTACAAATGATGAACATGATATAAATGTATAAAAAGGGCTGTGTTATGTCTCCAGTTCATCAGAATGTTCTTGAAAAGACTGGTTCATTTTTAACACATTTGTGCAGAGACTTCGCTGCTGTTCTCTCTGATCCACACATGTAGGTCCTGAAAATGCTAAAGGGCTCCATGGTCCATGGTCCAGGATCCAGGATCCAGGATACATGATCCAAACCTGTATCTTGGAATGTTAAACCATGACCTCATTTCCCACATGGTTAAAGATTGTTAGATTCTTCAAAAGAAGATATTTTCCTTTTCATTTGGGACACTTAACTTGAATTTTTTCATTATTGTTCTTTTTATTTTGTTGATGTATGATGTTTATACAAATGTAAATTGGCATCAAAGATTAAGGAATAATTAAAGAGAATATTTACTTCAGAGTGATTTTTTTTATTTTAATAAAAGGACTATAAAAATCAAGGCAGACAATAGAAATAGAAGCAAAACAAATAAACACAAAGCAAGACAAAGAAAAAAATTAAAGCCGCAAGCGGCGTCAAACGGCCCTCGCCGCACCGCGCATCTCCCGGCACCGCGCGCACCACCCCGTGCCACGCCGCCCCGCACCAAGCCACCCCGCACCACGGCGCCCTGCATCACGCCGCCCCGCACCAAGCCGCAACGCGCCGCTCCACAACGCCTCGCACTACACTTACCACACCGTACCACGCAGCACCGCGCAAAGGAGGTGGCGCCGCCGTGTGATGATTTGTTCCCGTAGCCATAGAAGATTGTTAGTCAAATTGTAATGAATATGATAAGTAGAGCTGGTTTGGCTCTTTGTCTTTAGGGGGCGCTAATGGGCCAATTTTGAATATTTCACTTTCACCTGACCTAAATTCTGGAGTTGAACAATGGATTCAAGTTTAATGCAAATCAGACTTTGTTTGTGCAAACGGGAAAAAAATGTATGTTGTCAAAAACGGCCAAAAAAACCCTCACATCTTGCCGCTCCGCTGCTCAAACAACGTTTCACTGATAAAAATTCCCTGAAGTCATTTTGAAGGTAAATGTGTTGAGAGGATTTGGAACAATTTTGAGGCCAATCGGTGAAACGGCCGAGGAGGAGTCGCTTTCCAACCGACGTGTATGAAAATGATTGCGGATCATTTTTCCATTTTGCAGTGAAATTTATGGACCTCCTGTTTGTCAGAGGGCGGAGCCATGATAACATTTCGGTCGTATCTTGACTTGAGGAACATGTGTACCGAATTTTATGGCTCTACGACAAACTTGACCTCTGAAACTCCCATTGGCTGTTGTAGGTGGCGCTGTTCTGGCATTTTTTGAGTCCCATAAAAATAAACACCAAAATATCAAATTTTTCACCAGGTCTGATGTCTGGGCAAAATTGTACAACTTTTCATGCATGTTCAGGGGGTGAAATTAAGGCTCAAAGTGCAGAATTTGACATCTCTCGAGCAAAAACAATAGGCCCTTTCATTGTTCGGGGCTCGGGCCTAATAAGACAAAACAAAGATTTCTTTCACAGTAACACAAAAAATAAAAATAAATGAAAACCTAAATTTATTCAGTGGCTCAGTTGGTAGAGCATTGGCCTTTGAGCCTGAAGGTTGTGGGTTCAAGCCCACCACAAGACCTTCTCCACCAACTCCCACTGATGTCTGCTGTCGTTGTGTCCTTGGGCAAGACACTTAACCCACTTTGCCTGAAGCCCCCGCTGAAAGACCAAGGCTATGCCATAGAGCAGCCGTCCTCCTGTGGACTCACCACCGGCAGGATGATCAGAGAGGGGCTGGTGCTCTGTGTACTGGGTGGCATCTCTGGCCACCCCCCCGACCCAGAAATGGATTAAGGGGAAGAAAATGGATGGATGGATACTCTGGCAAATATCACCAAAGTCTGTGATCCGGGCGCCAGAACTCACCGCATGGAGCTAATCTCACTGGTAAAGTACCATGTGGCGCAGAGCTAAAATAGGTCTCGTTATGATTCTCAAATCATTAACGACAAAACAAGGAATAAAACTACAAAACTCTTGTCTATTTAGCTGTTATGGTCCCAGCTGGATTCGTCTGGCAACCTGAGTCAGGGAGAGTGGGAGAGGCTGCAGTACCACTTTTGGCCACAGTTGTACATACTGCTCTTTTAACCAAATTATTCAAGATGTAAAAGTTAATCTATCTTCTTCGGAGTGATTTATGTGTTTATTGGAGCCATAGCATGTGTCAAGACCTCCTCCCCCCCTCCCCTCTTTGTAGTCCGTTGCCCTTTGATCTCCACCTGCTCATATATTGTGAGAAACACAAATGGTTTTATATCTCTCCTCTCACGATGGCGGACAAACATTCTCTCATTTGGATCGGATTATTGTTACTGACTTTGGTGGAGTTTGGATCCTGTTATTCTGGTAAGTGACGAAACACACCGAGATACGGAGGAAGCTAAAACTGTGATCCAGTGTTTCCCAAACAGGGGAACCACACGGAACACAATCCAAGCATAAGATAAGATATTCCTTTATGTGTCATCGTTGCACTTTACAGCAGAGAAAGAAGGAAACAAGACTCAGACGCACACATCCAACAGGGGCTATTTTTTAAGATAAAAGATAATAAAATTCAAATAGAATAAAATAAAGCTCTCGAGCTATTATTGCACTTGGTTCAGAGGTATTTACAGATTTGCATGTGGGGTCGGAACCTTTGGATGGCTTCACATTTTAGAAGTTGGTGAAAATCAGTGGAATGGAAGAATTAAATGTACTTTTTATTTGTATTATCTGAAAAAATAGTTTCAGAAAAATATTCCACAATAATACTGCAGCTGTGCTGACTCTGATGGTCTAGAGGTCTCCTAGAGGTCTGTGACGGTCCAAGAGGTCTCTGATGGTCCGAGAGGTCTCTAATGGTCCTAGAGGTCTCTGATGATCCTAGAGGTCTCTGATGATCCTAGAGGTCTCTGATGGTCCTGGAGGTCTCTGATGGTCCTAGAGGTCTCTGATGGTCCTGGAGGTCTCTGATGGTCCTAGAGGTCTCTGATGGTCCTAGAGGTCTCTGACGGTCCAAGAGGTCTCTGATGGTCCTTGAGGTCTCTGATGGTTCTAGAAGTCTCTGATGGTCCTGGATGTCTCTGATGGTCCTAGAGGTCTCTGATGGTTGTAGAAGTCTCTGATGGTCCTAGAGGTCTCTTAGAGGTCTCTGATGGTCCTAAAGGTCTCTGATAGTCCCAGAGGTCTGTGATAGTACTAAAGGTCTCTGATAGTCCCAGAGGTCTGTGATGGTCCTAAAGGTATCTAATGGTCCTAGGGGTCTCTGAAGGTCCTTGAGGACTCTGATGGTATTAGAGGTCTCTGATGGTCGTAGAGGTCTCTGATGGTCTTGGAGGTCTCTGATGATCCTAGAGGACTCTGATGGTCCTAGAGGTCTCTGATGGTCCTAGAGGTCTCTGATGGTCCTAGAGGTCTCTGATGATCCTAGAGGACTCTGATGGTCTTAGAGGTCTGTGATGGTCCTAGAGGTCTCTGACAGTCCTGGAGGTCTTTGACGGTCCTAGAGGTCTCTGATGATCCTAGATGTCTCTGCACCTACCTTAAGCCTAATGTGCAGTCTATTTTGTATCTACCCTCAGCCTAAAGTGGATTCTTATAGTCCTAGAGGTCTCTGATGGTCCTAGAGGTCTCTGATGGTCCTGGAGGTCTCCGACGGTCCTAGAAGTCTCCAACGGTCCTAGAGGTCTCTGATGGTCCTTGAGGTTTCTGATGGTCCTAGAGGTCTCTGACGGTCCTAAAAGTCTCTGACGGTCCTAGAAGTCTCTGACGGTCCTAGAGGTCTCTGATGGTCCTAGAAGTCTCTGACGGCCCTAGAAGTCTCTGATGGTCCTAGAGGTCTCTGCACTTACCTTAAGCCTAAAGTGCAGTCTATTTTGTATCTACCCTCAGCCTAAAGTGGATTCTTATAGTCCTAGAAGTCTCTGATGGTCCTATAGGTCTCTGATGCTAAGTTTTTCCTTTGGAAGACAATAAAGTCTGTGTTGAAAATCTGTTTATTTACTTTTCCCACTCACAGAGGAGGAACTTCACGCCAGTTACTGGAACAACAAAGCGAAGCAGGCTCTGCACCGAGCTCTCGGGGTCCAGCCCAATCTGCACAAGGCCAAGAACGTCATCCTCTTCCTGGGGGACGGTGAGTCTCATTAAACAGTCTAATTACATAAAAGGTTTATTTATTTATTTTATCTAATCTTTATTTAACCAGGAAAGGCCCACTGAGATTAAGGACCTCTTTTTCAATGCAGACAAAAGTTACATAAAGGAGGTTTTTCCCAAAGTTTATGAAAGAAGCGCCCCCTCCACTTTTTCAACACAACTCTCTGGTCTTATTGGACGTATCACCAGAATGATTTACAGTTGAGAGGATCAATAGTCTTGATGATCCACCCAGAACTTAGTAGAATATCCTCCAAAATACCTTTAAGAACCAAGATACATGCAACTGACCACAAGTGTCAACAACAAGACCAAAATATAGACAGCTTCAGGCATGTCCAAACTCAGGCCCGGGAGCCAAGTGCGGCCCTCAGTGTCATTGTAAGTGGCCTTCTGCCTCGCTAACCCACAGTAGTCAATGAAATCATAAACACAAGTTTACTGTGTCATCCATCCAACTCCAGCTCAGCCCATATAGACCTCGTTCTAAAGACCAGTACGTCTGGAGTTCAGTTGTTGACTTGTTAGATGGTGAGATGGTAAATGTGTGTCATTCAGTCAACTACAGTTCTGTTATAGATCATTTCAAAGCTAAAAACAGCCAGGTGCCAGTCAAGGCAGGTTTTCAGTCCGTGATGTTGGCCCCTGGACTGCTCTGAACTTAAGTGGCTCTTGTTACAATGTTTGGACACCCCTAGGTTAATATGATAGAAATCAGTTCATTTAGATATTCTCCAAATGTTTTAACACTTACACACATTGTTTATACCAGTGTTTTTCAACCAGTGGGCCGTGGTACGTTTGTAAGCCTTGAGATGTTATTTGGTGTTTCTTTGGAATATGATCCAATATCACCAACTTGGTCAAAATAAAAAAAATTATTAGAGCAGTAGAAATACTTCTTTGCACTTTTCTAAATAATACACTTTGATGAAAGCTGTTGGTTTTCTGTGTGATTGTTTTGAAGAAAAAAGGTGTGCCACGGCTCAAAAAGGTTGGGGACCACTGGGCATTTCATATCAGGCTTTACCAGAGCCACCTATATTACAGGCTAAAGGATAACATTCTAATAACATACATGACCAAGATATAGACAGCTTCTATGGTAAACATCAGTTCATATAAATATTCTACAAATGTTTTAACACTTACAAAACTGTCTACATTGTTTATAAAGCACATTTCATAACCGGCATGACCAGAGCCACCTATATTACAGGCTAAAGCTAAAGGCTATCGATCTCTGGAGCTAAACAGTTAATTACATGGTCATTGAGGACACACTCATGACTCTCCGTGAGTTTATCTGTGTTTGGATGGATCAGTAACAGACGTCACCTCATAAAAAAGATCATTTCTGTTGTAAATGAAAAGCCTGAAGAAGATCGTCTCCTTAGAGCCATAAACAATGACTTTTATAAAACCGTTTCATAATAAATTCACACATTCTAGTTTTTTAGACTTTGACTTAGACAGACTTTATTGATCAACAGGGAAATTGCGTTGTCACAGTAGAAATACATTTCAAATTATGGGCTGTTTAATATTTGTTCGAATATATGTATTTTTTTTAATTTTAGAATTATATTCAAATTTTGAAGCCGAAGCCCTGGTCTTTAGCAGCGCTGTAAGGGCTAGAGGACGCAGGCTGGTCGCTGCTCGTTCTGTGAGTGGAGGAGAATCAGCGTCCCGCTAAGACTCTACTCAGCACTTTTCAAGGCTGAAACTCATACTCATTAAATTATGGATTATAATACAACTTGTATGTAGTAGTAAGCATTTTTATGAACTACTTAGAAAAAAAATCGGCTATGGCTTCTTTAAAGGAGCAACATGTAAAAATCTGACCAAAAGTGGTACTGCAGTCACAGTCAATATTTTGTAGTCCTCTCCCACTCTCCTTGACTCAGGTTGCCAGATACACACCAAATCGAGCAGCAAACACAGGGAATTATTTTATCAGTTGTTTGTCTGTGTCCATTCACATTGCCATGAGCCGTGGTAATGTTGAATGAATGTTATTTTATTTTTTTATTTGGACATTTGAGATAAAACAAAAAAACAAAAAAACAAAACAAAAGCAATATAATTATAGATTATGCAAAATAAATAAGAAATTGATAGGAATGGGAAGAATGAATGTTGGAACGTATTTCTTCAGCGTATCAACATCAGGGTTTGCTACAGAGGATACCTTCAATTTTATTTATTCCCTATTTTTTAGACAAACATGTATAAGTCCCACATCAAAAAGAGACTAAAATGATTTTAATTGGGGTACATGTGGTCTCAAATGATGTTTTTACAATTAAGCTATAATTTGCAAAAAAATGTCTTGACCTTCGTCTTTTTTAGAGCAATCTGTCATAGAGTGTGAAATTATGCAATTAAATACAAAAAGACTCTGACCGCATTCAAACCCGGTTACTGTATCGTAAGCGCAGTGGCATAACCACTAGACTACAGTACCTGTGCGCGCAGTGAAAGCTGATTGTGGATGCAACAAAATCAATTATTCATGAAGAACGCACTCAGAGCACCAAGTTTTGCATCACACGAAAGCTTTTATCTGCTGTCTCAATTTTTCAAAGGCGTCCTATGTATAAATCCTCGTTTTAGTCTTTGTTTTGTCATTAATGATTTGAGAGTCATAACAACACCTTTTTTAGTTCTGCGGCCCCAGTGAGCCGTGCAGAATTCTGGCAACCTGGACCCCGCACTTCCTGATTGGCTAAACGGCGAAGGGTAGGACTTGAGAATGAAAACAATAACAACTTTTACGGGTCGTAAAACTCATTTTGATATTCCAATATCTCGGCTGAACTACTGTTATCAAAAGAGCATGATTTAATAACGCCTTTTGAATGTGGGGGCCATTTAATGATGACTTGACATGCAAATATTACATACTGCTACTTTAAGATTAGGTTTAAAATGTCTATATTGGTTCAATCTTTGACATAGCTGAAGTTGGCTGAATGACAAAGGTTTAGTCCCCAGATACATTAACTCTATACAATTCAAAATAAGTCAGTTTAGTCAAAAAAAAAACTACATTTCTATGAGGGCAGAGCTGAAGTTGGCTGGATTTATTGAAATTGTCTTCATGATCTTCAAGACTACTTTTGGGTTAGCGAGGCAGAGGGCCGTATAAAGACACAGAGGGACCGCAAATGGCCCCCGGGCCTTAGTTTGGACATGCCTGATCTAAATAAAACATTTTAAAGATGAATTTTGATAATATTTTCTACCTTGACTGGCCCGGAGTCATTTAGTGCGTGCATGTTCACAGATATGTATATAATGTGTACATATTCACAGACATGTATATAATGTGTACATATTCACAGATATGTATATTCCTGAGTGCCTATATCCAGATTATTCTATTCTCACAATATTATCTTATATTATTCTTATTTTCAGATTTCTATTGTTATTTTCATTGTTCTTTTTATGTGGAATACTCTGCAAGCTTCTGTGACAACACAATTTCCCTGTGGATCAATAGTCCGTCTAAGTCTAAGTTTAGACCCTAATTAAGGTATTTTTCTTCAATTTTTATTAAACTATGGTTGACCCGGTTGTAGCAGAAGGTCAGGCAGCACAGAAGCAGAACTGTTGTAAATTTGACCCAGTGTCCATCAGTTGTGTCCTGTGTCCAGGGATGGGTTTGCCCACAGTAACCGCGGCCCGCATCCTCAAAGGGCAGCTGGACGGACACTCAGGGGAGGAGACCAGTCTAGTCATGGATACATTCCCTCACCTCGCTCTGTCGAAGGTACGGAGATGGCAAGATTACTCTCAATCTATTATTATTGTTATTGAAGTTTCCCCAGAAAGGACTGTCTGATCTTATCTGGTTCAATGTTTATATGTCCTATATCCAGATTATTCTATTCTCACAATATTATCTTATTATTATTTTTATTTTCAGATTTCTATTGTTATTTTCATTGTTTTTTTTATTCTGGAATACTATGCAAGCTACTGTGACCTCACAATTTCCCTGTGGATCAATAAAGTCTGTATATGTCTTAGTCTAAAATGATGCATAAAACCTGTTGACCCAAGACCTAACACAGTGGACAATTTTTTATTTAATGATTAAATTAATAATCCAATATTTTTGCGTTTCTGTCTGTAGATGTTTCGACAGGATCACAGACAAAAACTAACTTCCTTCAAAGAGAAAACCTGAATATTAAATGAATAATCCAATATTTTCTTATGTCTCTGTGCGGATATCATCCTGGGGCCAAGATCATTCATTCTAAGGCCAGATCTGGCCCCCGGGCCTTGACTTTGACACCGTGGCATAGACTCCAATCAGCCTTTCAGTTTCACTTTAGTTTATTTAAGAGGGGACAATGCAGTGTAATAAAACACAAGAATTAGCCAAAGAGTCTATTTTTCATCTGTCGTCCCCGGATTATTGATGCACTTCCCACAATGCCAGTGGCTTTGGGCTTGAGATAAACAAAGCAAGTGGAAAAGTACCAGTGTCATAGAGAAGACTTCAGCTGCTTCAAAAAAGCATTTGCCTTTGAGCCCGAAGGTTGTGGGATTGAGCCCAACACGAGACCTTCCACTTATGTCTGCTGTCGTTGTGTCCTTGGGCAAGACACTTAACCCACTTTGCCTATAAGAGCGAGGAAGTGATGTTCACTGCTGGCCTTGATGTGTATGTGTGTATATGTGTATGTGTATGTGTATGTGTATGTATACAGTATGTATATGTGTGTATATGTGTATGTGTGTATATGTGTATATGTGTATGTGTATATGTGTATGTGTATGTGTATGTGTATGTATATGTGTATGTGTATGTGTATGTGTGTATATGTGTATGTGTATATGTGTATGTGTATGCATCAAAGTGAAATTTCCCCATTGTGGGACGAATAAAGGACTTTCTTCGTCTTTCTTCTTCCTCCTCTGGAGGAGCCCTCTGCACCGGGAGCAGTGGTCGGTGTGGCTGCGGGGGTCGGACTCTTGGGCCTGGTGGGGGCCTGGGGCCTCGGTTTCATGTCTCCTCTGGGTCCTGTGTCGTCCCCTGTGGCTACGGGCGGCTCTCTGCTCCTGGTGCAGACGGCTCCTTGGATGACGCTTTTTCAGCTGGTTGCATCTGAACCCTGCCAAGTCTCTCATCATGTTTTTATTGTTTTACTGGTGTGTGTGTGTGTGTGTGTGTGTGTGTGTGTGTGTGTGTGTGTGTGTATGAGTGTTCATGAGCGCGTGTGTGTGTGTTTGTCTGTGGTTTGGGGTGGGTCTGTTGGGTGGTCTGGGGGAGGGGTCTTGGGTCGGCAGGATTGTTTTTAACCAAACTGTAAAGCACTTTGTGTTGCATCTTATGTATGAAAAGCGCTTTATAAATAAAATTTGATTGATTGATTGAAATGTCATTAAAAATCCAAACTCTTAGTTGAGGTTTAATTCCAACACTGATAGACTTTAATATAACTTGACTGGATATATTAATTAAAAAAACATTGATATGACGTATACTTGAAAACATGCAAAGCTAAAATGATAATCCAAATGTGTCTTTATGGTAGACCTACAATGTGGACCAGCAGATGCCGGACAGCGCAGGTACCGCCACAGCGTACCTGTGTGGTGTGAAAGCAAACTATGGTACTTTGGGGGTCACTGCTGCAACCCCCAGGTACAACTGCAGCGCTTCCTTCGGGAATGAAGTGACCTCCATCCTCCATCGCTCAAAGCAAGACGGTGAGTTTGTTCACACATGACACACAGCAGACCTCAGACCTGTCCCTCTCCACACGAATCTGTACTAATGAGTTACTTTTGGGTTAATGACATTAAGGCCCTGGCCACACGAAGTCAAGCTCAGGCCTAAACGCAAAAATACTTTATCAATCCAGTGTATCGTCCATACGAGGCCGGCGTTTTGGGGGGGTGTAAACGAACATTTTTGAAACTAGGTCCCAGAGTGGAAAGATTTCAAAACTCCGTATATGCCGCTCCGTGGTTACTGCCTCTCCGCAATGTATCTGAGACGCTTGCGTCATCGCCCCGCCTCTTGTTAAAGCACGCATGCGCCGCACTCAGAAAATAATGACAACAACAATGTAGCTTGTTGGTTTTGTAATCCAGTGTGACCCGAAGCAACAGTTCAACCTCATCGTCCGTCCATACTAATGTAGTACCAGCTCGCCCACTCGCCATGTTGTCTGTTTACAAAATTCCGCGCATGCCCACGGAAGTTTGGGCTTGATCCCGTCATTGCGTCACAGCGCCACCAACAGGTCTGGCATAGTTTCACAGCGTTTTCAGGCGTATTGACTACATTCATATGGACGCACACATTTACTGAGCTAACTCCGTGTTTACAGAAAAAGTTTCTGAAATTATAAGCGTTTTGTCTTCGTGTGGATATAGCCTAAAAAATACAGAAATGTCCACAGCCGCTACAGCTGAATGTTCACAGACTCTTGTGTAGTCCCTTGGCAAGACACTTGATGTGCTCTTCGATACATACAGAACAAATGTAAAATTCATTTTTGTCTTGGTTAACGGTGAAAGAGAGATTTGATAAGATAAGATAAGAATTCCTTTATTCGTCCCACAGTGGGGAAATTTCGAGGCATCGTTACTCATTTTTAAAAGAAACATTACTGAGAACAAAATTCCAACTGTGCTTCATCAAGAGCTCTGTTTTAGTTCTGGTGAGCAGGACTATGAAACCCGACACGCCACAGAAGGCCAATTCAAGTTACCCAAAGTAAAAACAAATCATGGAAAAGCGACTGTAATGTACAGGTCAATGTTTGCCTGGAATCATCTTCCAAGTGACATTATTAATGCAAAGAGTAAATACCAATTTAAAATCCTATATCACAACTGTGGTGTTATCTCTCTAACCACCATTGACAATTGAAATTGGGTCTGGGTCGTGTGTGTGGGTGTGTGGGTGTGTGGGTGTGTGGGTGTGCGTGGGTGTGTGTGTGTGTGTGTGTGTGTGTCGTCATGTGTATCTTTTGTTTTTATTTTAGTATAATTATTGACATGTATTCTTGTTAATGTACTTTGCTTGACTCCAGGAAGAATAGCTGTGTTGAACAGTTAATGGAGATCAACATAAATACAAAATACTTAACCCCACTTTGCCAAGGTCGTATCTTCGTTGAAGAAGCAGCCGTCTTCCTGTGAACCCACCACCTGCTGAGGATCAGAGACTGGTGCTTTGTGAATGATAATAAAGAGGATGAAAATGACATGGCATTTATTTTTTATTGCCGTGTGAAGTAAGATTGAAGCTCTGTACATTTCAGCCTGGAGTGAGCTAACTATAAAACGTGTTTGTGTTTTCATCTCATCTAAGTCCTTCATGATGTCTTTTTTACTAACTAAAGCTGCTCTGTGTCGCAGGGAAGTCCGTGGGAATCGTGACGACCACTCGGGTCCAGCACGCCTCTCCTGGAGCAGCCTACGCTCACTCTGCCAACCGAGGCTGGTACTCCGACTACCATCTGACCCCGGAGGCCGTACAAAATGGCTGTCGGGATATCGCCTATCAGCTGGTGCACAACACAGAAATCGATGTGAGACACTCTTTGGAAAATAGTTTAGAGCAGTTAATGGGAGAGGCTGCAGTACCACTTTTGGACACATTTTTACAGACTGCTCCTTTCAGACGTAGTTTAAATTGGATTAAGATATAATTTGAATACTGTAGTGTGTGTTTCAGAGCCTGTTAATACAATAAACGATAGGATTCAGTAAAAGATTAAGGTTTTTGACCCAGCCACAATATTGATGCATTTATAGGAGATTTGTTGACATTAAAGTCATATGTATTTGAAAATAGTTGATTTTGAAAACAAACCAAAAACAATCATCTACTTAAATAATATTTATATTTATCTAAAAATACATATTTTTGCCAATTTAACTATCAGTCCCAACACCGCCACTGACCATCAGAGGAACTGGGACGAACACGGTGGAAATATGTTCTTTAGTTTCCAGTCATGTGACTTGGACTCCAGTCATGGGACTTGGACTCCAGTCATGGGACTTGGACTCCAGTCATGTGACTTGGACTCCTGTCAGACTCCAGTGTACTGCAAATATAAAAAGACCTGAAACTCTACTTGGACCCTAACATCAATAACTCTGACTTCACTTGGACTTGACTTTATTGACTTCTAAAGACTTGTTTCCGTAACATGTGCTTCCCATTCAAATCTATGTGTGCGTTTGTGTGTGCGACTGTGTGTGCGGCGGTGTGTGCACCTGTGTGTGTGTGTGCGCCCCTGTGTGTGCACCGGTGGATCCATAGCTAAGAATGAGTTTAGAGGAACCTTTACATCAGAGTCGGTTTCCTGCAGGTGGTTCTCGGTGGAGGACGTCAGTACATGTTTCCCAACAACACACAGGACCCAGAGTATCCGAGTACAACGGGAGAACGAGAGGATGGACAGAATCTGATCGTGGAGTGGCTTAAGAATAAAAAGGTTAGAACGATGTTTTCATAAATACAAATGTATTTTACTTTCTTTACTTTAGATTTGATTTCACAGAAGGCCAAATATGTCTGGAACAAAGCAGAGTTTGATAAAGTGAATCCTAAAAACACAGACTTTCTGATGGGTAAGAGCAATGGGATTTTCTAATTTGAAAAGATCACATCGACAATAGTTGTCTGATAAATATTCTAACATTGTTTAAACAGGTTTATTTGAGCCTAAAGACTGTCGTTATGAACTGGATCGAGACCCAACCATGGACCCGTCTCTGACAGATATGGTGGAAAAAGCCATAAAGATTCTGTCCAAGAATCCAAAGGGATTTTTCCTTTTTGTGGAAGATAAGTGGAATGTTGTGATTGTTCAGGAAATAAATATGATTGTAATATTCAAAGAAGATATAAAGAATAAAACAAGTTATTTCCTTGTTTTTAAGCGGGAGAATTGACCACGCCCATCACGGAGGAAAAGCCAAACGATCTCTTCATGAAACCATAGAGTTCGACCGAGCCATCGGTCGAGCTGCGGAACTCACCAACGAACTGGACACTCTGACCGTCGTGACCGCGGACCACTCCCACGTCTTTGCCTTTGGAGGTTACTCTGCTCGAGGGAATCCAGTTCTGGGTAAACCTTTAAAGACATACAGGACAGACCAAAAGTTTGGACACACCTTTTTTTATTTTCATAATTATGAAAATGGTAGATTGACACTGAAGGCATCAAACTTATGAATGAACTCATATGGAATTATGTACGTACTAAAAAAGTATGAACCAAGTGAAAATATGTGTTATATTCTGGGTTCTTCAAAGTAGCACCTTTTGCTCTGATTACTGCTTCACTCTTGGCATTCTCTTGATGAGCTTCAAGAGGACCTGAAATGGTCTTCAACAGTCTTGAAGGAGTTGATACTTAGCACTTGTTGGCCCCTTCACTCTGTGGTCCAGCCCCAAAACCATCTGGACTGGTTTCAGGTCCGGTGACTGTGGAGGTCATGTGGCCCAGCACCATCACTTTCCTTATTGGTCAAACAGCCCTTACACAGCCTGGTGGGGATCTACAGCAATAGTCATGAAAAGACACTCAGGGAAGGAGAAAGGGTGTCCCAAACTTTTGGTCTGTACTGTAGATAAGACATATATTTGAAGACTATAAAATGTCTGTATCTGATGTGCTCAGGAGTCTCTCGCTCTTTGGCCGAAGACCATAAACGCTTCACGATGGCAGTTTATGGAAATGGACCTGGATATCAAATCAAGTCTGATGGAAACCGTCCAGATGTGAATGAGACCGTTTCTAGTGAGTTCTGTGACGCTTTACCGCCCTCTAGTGTCCGGGAACATACATAACAGACAATGAAAACATTATAATCTGTGAACAAAACTGATTTGGTTAATTCTGGCATATTTACAGAAATGTTCATTAATATGCACCATCCCTGTAACAAATAAATAAACAAACAAACAAAAAAACAAGAAAACAAGAAAAAAGCAAAAAGCAAAAAGAAAAAAGCAAAAAAACTAGAAAACAAGAAAAAAAAATAAAAAAAACAAGAAAAAAAACAAAAACAAAAAAACAAGAAAATAACCACACACAAAAATTAAAAAAGAACTAAAGAAAAAAAACAAGAAAAAAATGTATCTGGAAAATCATGAATGAATAACATTAGAGAATACAATATTTGACATTTCATTTTCAATTGCTTATCCAAGGTGACAAGGACTACCAGCAGCAGGCCCCCATCCCCCTGGACTCAGAAACCCATGGGATTGAGGACGTAGCCATCTATGCAAAAGGGCCCATGTCTCATCTGTTCCATGGAGTCCAGGAGCAGAGCTACATCGCACACGTCATGGCCTTTGCTTCCTGTGTGCAGCCGTACACAGAATGCAAACTCCCAGAACACAACCAGGCAGCAGCAGTTCACTCCAGTCTGCTGCTCATCGCTATTGGGATTTTCCTTTGTTTTTGTACTTTTAAAATGTAGAAAAAGTACATAAATATATCTGCAGATGAGTGTGTTAAAGTACATGTTTTTTATACAACCGTATTTGTCAGTGTACTTTTGTTTTTTCCTTTGCAATAACAACATGTAGAGATAATACAGTTAATTATAGAACTAATGTTTAGTTTGAATAAGTAATTAACCAAGAACCTTTGTGTCTGGGATGATTTGCATGTTCTATGTTTGTGTAGGATTCTTCTGGGATCTCCTGTATCTTTATCACCTAATATATGTACAAGAGATGTTAATATGTGATTGGAGGGTGGTGGCTGCAATAATGGGAGAGCAACGCAGTTTGTCGCCCTGGTCTGTGAAAAATATATGTAATAAAATATAATATATTATTAAAGATTATAAGCAGTGTTGGAATTTACTTTATTTTCTTTCAAAGTAATTTAAGTCACATGCAAACTTAAATACTTAAAGATATAAAGCAGGATTTACCCACATTTTAGGATTTTTTAGGATCCCACCCTCTCCAGTTTTTGAACAAAACTGGTCTTAAGATGATTGACAGTTGGAAGTACCAATAGTCTTGATGATCCACCCGGAAGTAGAAAATCCTCCTACTGTTGGACGGTCAGCACTAGATCATATATGGAATTGGGACGGAAGCGGAGGTAAAAATAACAAACTACCTATTCATGCCTAAACTTAACCAGCCATTCCCATAAAATAACCCCAACCCACCCTTAACCCTAACCTCAACCATCTTAATCAGACGCCTAAATTTAACCAGTCACCACTTAAGGATTTATTAGTCTAAAACTAGTATGATCGTTACTTCCGGTTTATAGTTTGGGGCCTATACAAAAATATAATGAATTGAAATTTACTTTAATGAATAAAGACAAACACACACGTAGTTACATGTTCTTAAAACATGTTAGCTGTGCAAAAGTGTTGTTATAACAAAGTAGGCACGATATTATAATACATCCATGAGTAGGCAGAGAATCCGTGGGGTCGTGAGACATAAACAAAGAGCGGAGGATGACACTGACATTTCTGATTGGTCAAAGCTTGTGTACGTCGCGAGAGCGTCCAATTGGACCTCTCTGGGGTCGGGACTTCCTGTTTATCTTTGTTTGGGGGGCCGTCATTGTTCGTGGAGGGAATTTTAATCTACAGACTTTTAACAGATGAAATTAAGCCGTAAAGTACTAAAAAAAAGTTGCATTACGTCCTTTTGTAAATGCCATATGTGCTAAACACGCGCCCATGCTTAATGAGGCTAACGTAGCATGTGCTCCTTTCCCTGAGGACGTGTTATTAGCTGCTAGCATTAGCATGGTACACAGTTCGGAGAAACTGTGCATGTTGCAGAACTTTCTTCAGTAATTTACAGAGAGATGAGTTTGACAATGGACCGAACGACAAAGATAATTCACAGTGAACTATGCAAAGCAATAAATGATGGAGACACAAGGTAACAGCCTCTTCTGACACTTGTCCTTTTTATAATTTTATATTTTTAATCTGCAACTTGTCCTGCGCAGTGTGATGTCCAGACATGTTGTAAACAGAAATGCATGTATATGCCTAAATAATGTGAATTTAACAATAATATTTGTATGCATGCGGAATCTTTACCTAAGCACTCCAGAATGTAATAATAATAACAAAAAATTATTTGTATAGCACTTTTCAAAAACAGTGTTTACAAAGCGCTGCACAGTCACAGACAAAGCAGACAGAGGAAACACAAGATGAAAGACAAAGCAGACAGTAAAATACAACGTGAAGTTTAAATCTAACAGTTAAAAGCATAAATGTGTATAATTCATATTAGCTTGGATTTATGTTTATTGTTTTTGATAGATGACTGCCGAGTCTGTTCATGACATTTATCTGTAATTACTGCAATCATGTGCAATACTGCAATTTAAGAATGTCACGGAATGTCACTTTAGACTTATTACCCTGCCTATATATAAAAAACTTTACACTATATATATAGATATTTTGACTCATATTGAAGCATTCACAGCTAAGAAACAGCAGCTACTTATATTTTGTATTTTGGCTCCCAGTGTCTCTCACTACTGTCATCACTACTGTGGGACGAATAAAGTACCTCTATCTTATACGAGTTACTTTCTTACAGAACGGTTCAGTGTCTCCTGATCCAAGGGGCGCAGGCTGATGCAGTGGGCGGTGAAGGAGTGGCAGCCATCCACCTCGCTGTCGGGAAAGAGAACGAAAAGAACCAGCGCTGTTTAAAATTAATGCTTCAGCACGGAGTCAATCCAAATATAAAGTACGTTTATAAAGTCTGTGATTGTGGCGACTTCTCATTTGTTTATAACCAAATCCATAATTACTCCACTAAACTATTGAAAGGACCACTGTGTAGTTTTTACTCCGATAGCATCAAGATCCATCCATCCATCCATTTTCTACCCTTTAATCCATTTCTGGGTCAGGGGGGTGGCAGTCAGAGATGCCACCCAAGTCTCATAGCACCAGCCCCTCACTGACCCTCTGCAGGTGGTGAGTCCACAGGAGGACGGCTGCTCTCTGAGTGTGAGCATAGCCTTGATCTTTCAGTGGGGGCTTTGGGCAAAGTGGGGTTAAGTGTCTTGCCCAAGGACACAACGACAGCAGTCATCAGTGGGAGTCGGTGGAGAAGGTGCAGAGGTGGGAAATGAACCCACGACCTTCTGGGCTTAAGGCCAATGCTCTACCAACTGAGCTACTGTCGCATCAAGATTGATATTGTAATTTCCGGTACTACAGTGGCTTCACAGGACAATATGTGGTCTTTGACAGTGGTCCCCAACTCCCGCTCAAACTCCTTTTCGTCCCTTATCAACCACTGTATTTCAAGATGGAGGATTCACAGAGTCCTCAGCCTCATGGAAATTTATAAGTTAAATTCTAAGTTGATGACAACAATTTAAAAACATGTTGTAGGTAAATATTCTTAAAAAGGTCACATTTGTTTTTGTTTAACATGTTTTTTCATTTGGAGCAACTAAGTAAGTGATGTTTATTTATATAGCCCATTTTACAGACCAAGGTACAGACCCAAAGTGCTTTACAAAGTTCAGCTAATTCTCTCCACACGGTGATGACAGAAGCGAGACCTGAACACACTGGTCCATCAAAGCCTCCGACCAAACACCATCCATTCACTCATTCATTATATTCAGACCTATTGTACATGTTTTTTGTGGTAGGGGAAACCGGAGCACCCGGAGGAAACCTACACAGACACGGGGGGAACATGCAACCTTCACTCAGAAAGGCCCTGTTCCGACCGTGATAACCACTCAGCCACCGTGCTGCCCTGTAAAAAATGACACTGAGTGACTTTAAATACTGCACGACCGACTCATTACAACACAATAGATTAGAACAAAGGTCTTTAACCTTTTTAACAGAAGGAGCCAAAAAGATCTCATATTTCAAATGTATTTCTGTGGGAGCCATACATTTTTATTTTTTTACTGTGAATATGTGTGATATTTTAAAAGGCTATCAACGCCTTTAGATTGTGATATTAGTCTCTGAATGTATTCTGTAGTTTAATACATTTCTAAACTGTGAAACTGTGGGACCTGCCGTTTTAAGGAGTCAAGAAACATTGGTTGAAATCAAACCAGCTCTTTCTCTTAAATTCTTTATGTTGTCGACTTGTTGTTTGTACTTTTACCGAACTGTGTGTGTGTGTGGGTGTGTTTCTGCCTCAGGACAACGGGGAACATATAACTTTGGTGCTATTTCCAGCATATTTATATTGACGCTGTTTTCAGACACATAGATTAAGATGTCATTTGTAAATTTCTCCTTTGAGATCAATATAGTCCATCTTAATATGTTCTGTCCTAAATTCAAATAAATACAAAGACATACATGAAACATTCTTATTATTATGGTGTCTAAAATTTGTCACAGTCATTAGCTAACCCTTCCTAAGTAACCTTGGCTCAGTTGTAGGGCATTGCCTTTGAGCCTGAAGGTCGTGGGTTTTGATCCCACCACAAGACCTTCTCCACCAATGTCTGCTGTTGTTGTGTCCTTGGGCAAGACACTTAACCCACTTTGTGTATACGGAGCACTGAGGAATGTTTGCTGCATGCTTTGATGTATGTGTGTTCATCAAACTGTAATTTCCCCACTGAGGACCTTCTTCTGGCCACTGGATTTGTTAAAACCATTTCCTGATGTGTCTTGTGTGTCCAGAACCTCAGATGGACTCACTCCTCTTCATATTGCTGCCGTTTGGGGATGCTTCCAAAATGTGAAACTGCTCTTGACCAATGGAGGAGACCCAAACTTAACAGACAACGTAATAACCTTTTTGTTTGAATGATTTGGATTTCCCGGCGTTATTTTGTTTTGAGATGATAATTTTGACCGTTTTAAATGCTGCACATACATTTCAGGACGGGAACACTCCACTGCAGCTTGCAAAGGAACAAGGAAATAGAAAATGTGCTCAGATTCTTCAGGGATTTCAGACAAATTCAGCCGAGACAGAAGAAGAGGATGTGCCGCGGTTCCACTACTGTAGGTGCACATTTGTGTTTCTTACAGCTGTTCATACTAATTATTATATGTTTCTTAATATTATATGTTTATTTTTATGTATTAACCTGCAGCATTGTTACAAATAACCGGTGCCATGTTCATAGGCCGTATCGCTAACGGCTAATTTGCAGACTTGTCCCTAAGACATACAGGGTTTCAAATCCCACTGTCGTTTTGTCGTTGGGCAACACTCAACCCTACTTTGCCTTTTTGTTGCTATACTTGCATGCTAAAGCCGGATTCTGTCAGACGTCTGAAGCTAAGCAAGACAGGGCCTGGTTAGTCCTGTGATGGGAGACCTTTGGGAACAGCCACTGTGGGGCGGCTGTGGCTGTAAAGTGCCAAACTGTGGTTGTGTCCTTAAGCAAGACACTTCCCCCACATTAGAATGAATCTGGTGTGTGTGAGAATGGTTGGTGGTGGTGGGAGGGGCCGATGGCACAGACTGGTTTCCTCGCTTCTGTCAGTGTGCCCCAGGGCAGCTGTGGCTCTAGTAGTAGTTTATCACCATTGTGTTTGGAAAGAAAGAATAATGATGTGAAGAGACTTTGCGCGTCCAGAAAAGCGCTGTATAAAACGAATGTACTATTATTATAAAAAACAGATTACACAGTACCAAATCTTTAAAATGGACTAGACCAGCCATTCCCAAACTCAGTAACACCGAGGCCCCCTTAAAAATCTGACGGGTCTGCGTGGCCCCCCAAAATAATAACCAAGAAGACAACATTAAGAATAGGCTCTTCTGGTTATTTTATTTTGGGGAAATAGCCTCTGCTACAAACATTGTAATACAAAAATGATTACAGTGGATTATTCAAGTCAAATAATGAACACAAATATTTTAATATTACAAACAAAACATTATAAATTTAACATTAAAAAATTATATTTATTTTTTATTTTTTTTATGACCTCCCGCGGCCCCCCTGCAGTACCCTCGCGGCCCACCAGGGGGCCGCGGACCCCACTTTGGGAGACACTGGACTAGACAATACACTACATTTATTCCACAGCTGTTTTACACTGTGCTTGTGAACATATGCCTCCAGCCTCATTCCCCTGTGACTGTAAACAAGGCTGCTAACGTGTTTTAGCTGACACGACAAATGTATTTATTTACTGTATGTTTAAAAAACAATCAAAACATATTGTTATCGACAGATATGAATATTGTGATATAGTTTTCAGCCATATCGCCCAGCCCTAGTCTATCTCATCTTATCTTATTTAGACTATTAGCGTCTTGCATTGTGCACTCATCTTTCTGATAAACTACTTACATTTATTTCACAGCTGTTTATTCCGACCTCACGGACATCTCCAGCTTCCTAGACTCTGAATCCAGTTTCAGCTCCTCTTCCTCCAGGATCAGTGACTTTGGCGAAGCCCCGTTAAGCAGCACTAGACGCTCTTCATTTTTCACCACAAACAATAAACCAAACGGATTGTCACACATGCACAATCCAAAACGATTCAGTCAGGAGTGGAACAGTTGGACATTCGAGGGCCCTTCTCTTTTATCGAGCACTCGGGTGTCATCTGCAGGACGTCTGAGTTCTTTACCCGTTCTGAAGGAGCATGATCTATGGACAAATGTGGACAGAAAAACGGAGCCGCTCCCAGTTCTTCCTGTCCAGCAAAATGGACGTAAAAGTGTCACGTTCAGAGATGTAGATGAATTCTTTCCCGTGTTCAGCCCAGACTCAAACAGACACTCGCCTCGTACTGAAGGGACCTCCCACAGTCTGACCTTCGACCCCACGGAGTACTCTGACTTCCTGGACACAGAGCGCATGGCCACGGTCTGTCACACGCAGGGTATTGATGTGACCTCGCCCGATCACGTCTATGTGTTCCAGAGGGAGAGCAGCGACAGCACAGAGGAGATCCTGGAGAAAACTGTCAACGCTCATTTTGCTTTGGTTGAGAGCGATGAAGATGAAGATGAGGAGGAGCAGCTTCTTGGGAATGTCGAAGGTTTTCAGACTGAGAAGACCGGGAGCGGCAGCAGTGGAACCACGAGTAGCCGTTACAGCAGCTGTGATAGCGACCATTACACGAGCGCTTTGGAGAATACCGAAAACCTCCGGGTTCCTTTTTCTGCAGGAGAATGTAAAGTGGAAGAAAACAACAAAGAATGTATAGAAACAAAGGAAATACAAGAATATCCAATAGCCTCTTCACAACCAAGTTTAAATCGTAATAACGTACAATATTTATCTGACAGTTTGAATAACTTGGCCTTGTCTGAAGCAAATCATCAAAACAAAGATGCTGATTCAGATGGAGTAAAGCCATACACCAAAAACCCGGATCTATGGGACCCAGATCTGTCTTTCATGTCCAGTCCTTTTGTGACGGACAGGACACGCGCTCGCTTGAGTCGCTGCTCCATGAGGACGAGCAGAGCGTCCGGAAGTCTGTTGGCCACTTCCACACTTTTTGAGGACACACTTCCCACACCGGTCAGATCTCACAGACCGACGCCACAGTCTCGGAACAGCGAAAGAAATTACAACAACAGAAACACAGCGAGTCCTACTTCAAATGATCCCAACAACGATGAAGTCGTGGCAACTCTTTTTAGTGAGAGTCAAGGAGAAACTGTTAGTCTCTCTCAGACCAACAATGACACTTATCCCTTTGTTGAAACACAAGGTGAATCCTTCTTCTTGGATAAAGATGCCAAAATCCTGGATGACTATGAAAGGAATTTTGCTGAGATTGTTAAAGCGATACAAAACGAAGCTACTGACAATTTTCTGACGGACGATCTGACGAGTGCAGACGATGGGAAAAGGGATGTGGGTGAAGCCTCAGAGCCCAGTGCAGATGAAGCGTGGGTTACAGAGGATTGTCAACCTGATTCTGCGTCGTCTTCATCCAGCTCCAGCTATTTCTCTCCAAGGAGGTCTCGAGAGGACTGTGATCTGCCGTGTACCCCTGGCACCGGGTGCACCCCTCGCTACAGCATGAGCCGACTGTCGGGCTGCAGCAGGCCTCGGAGCTACGCCAGTGTCTCCTACACTCCCGGAGGCCGCCCACAGATGGACGATGTGGATGAGCCTGTGGAGTACCTCTACACAGACACAGAACAAGGACACACGTTCATAGAAACCCACATCCCTCCCACAGCCAACACCTCCATGAGTTCAAGCTCCAGCAGTGACGAGACTATTCTATACGACTGGCGTTCAATGCACCGAGACTTAATCCAGACTGAGAAGGAAAACCAGAAACCAAAGCCAGGGCCTCAAAGGAGCTCAAGTGACAGTGATGTGGAGATTCTACCAGAGACGAGAGGCCTGACGGACAGAGAGCTCCGGATGCGGCTGCTGGATTTGGGGGAAAGTCCTGGACCCATCTGCAGCAGAACACGGCCGACCTACATGAGGAAACTGTGTCGTCTTTTGGACCAGTCAAAGAAACGACCTCAGAATCTGCAGGAACCTTCAGACCAGACTCTATCAGGTCAGTGGGAAATGGGCCGTACCAACACTGCTTACATTAACGGTGCAGGAAGCGGTTTTGTTAGCTTAGCCGTAGCACCAACTTGTAACCACTCCCCCCTCCCCTCGCCTCTCCACCAAACTACTTCCCCCTCCTCTCCCTCTCCACCAAACCACTCCTCCCTCCCTCTCCACCAAACCTCTCGCCTCTTCACCAAACTACTCCCCCCTCCCCTCCCTCTCCATCAAACCACTCCCCCCTCCCCTCACCTTTCCACCAAACCACTCCCCCCTCTCCTCCCTCGCCCACCAAACCTCTCCCTCCTCCCCTCCCTCTCCACAAAACCACTCCCCCCTCCCCTCACCTCTCCACCAAACCACTCCCCCCTCCCCTCACCTCTCCACCAAACCACTCCCTCTCCACCAAACCACTCCCCCCCCTCCCTCTCCACCAAACCTCTCCCTCCTCCCCTCCCCTCTCCACAAAACACCCTCCCCCCCCCCTCACCTCTCCACCAAACCACTCTCCCTCTCACCACCAAACCTCTCCCCCCCTTCCCCTCTCCACCAAACCTCTCCCTCCTCCCCTCCCCTCTCCACAAAACCACTCCCCCCCTTCCCTCTTCCTCTCCACCAAACCACTCCCCCTCCTCTTCCTCTCCACCAAACAACTCCCCCCCTCCCCTCTCCACCAAACCACTCCCCCTTCCCCTCGCCTCTACACCAAACCACTCCCCTCACATTCACCAAACCACTCCCCCCTCCCCTCCCCTCGCCTCTCCACCAAACCACTAATTAAAACATATTTCCCCTCACATATTTATAGGTTACAGCCCAGAATTATGTCGAGCCTTAAGGACTTTTGAGTTGCCCCAATGTCAAGAAGAAGAACAGGCTTTGTGTCGGCAGTTTGAACAGGCCGATCACAACAGGAAGTGGCGAGAGGGCGTCATAAAGTCCAGCTTCAACTACCTGCTCCTGGATCCAAGGTGGACCATAGTTAACGTTTTTAGTTTCACTTTTAAAGAACGACGTCTTTATGATGCATGACTGTGTGGTTTCTATTTCGCCGCAGAGTCACCAACAACCTCCCGTTTCGCAGCCACACTCTGAGCCCGCACGAATGTTTTAAGACGTTTGTGAATGCGATATTCTACGTTGGGAAAGGAAAGCGCTCGCGTCCGTACAGCCATCTGTACGAGGCCCTGGATTACTTCAAAGGGGAGAAGACCTCGAAGGTAAAGAACAAACCCTTCCATGATTTATCTCAACAGCAGGAAACTGTTTTTGATGGTTTGTTTGCTTCAGAAACTGTGTCGTAAAGTGGACCACATCCTGCACGTGTGGAACGCGGGCCAGGGCGTCATCTCGCTGCACTGTTTCCAAAACGTGATTCCAGTCGAGGCGTACACCAGAGAGGCCTGCATGGTGGAGGCCATCGGTAAAACTAATAAAACTATGGGAAACTTTGTCGTTTTCCAATGGTGTGTTTTAACAGTCAACCTCATTTTTATGACACCGCTGAACGCACATTACTTATTTTATACAGTATAGGGAAGATAAATAATTTTGAAAATGGAAAAGGAGCTGCCTGTCCTCCACTCGTCGTCTCTTGATTTGATTGAACTAAAATGTATTTTGTAAAGTATTCTGTTACTTTGTTAAAAGTATTACCTGTGTTCCAAATACTTAGAATACTTTTATTTATTCTTTATTTTTTTATGTTGTATTATTCATGTTTATTTACAAAACGTGGTATACATTTTCAATCTATTTCAAGCCACAACCTCACATACTGTGTTTTAAAAATCCACCTCCTTTTTATGACTGAACGCACATTACTGTACTTTTTAGATTATAAGTCGCTCCAGCCAAAAATGGACATTAAAGAAGGAAACAAACATAAGTCGCATTTGTTCATAGAAATAGAACACTGAAAAATTGACCCACAGGCGAACCTAATCTCCCGTGCTGTGGTTTTACGGTTAATATAAAATGTAATAATTTCACACATGAGCCGCCCCACATTATAAATCCCACTCACGACCAAACTATGACAAAAACTGTGATTTATAATCCAGAAATCACGGCATGTCAAACTCGAGTTAGCAAAACGATACTGAATGTCATCTCTGGCGTTTGCAGGCCTGAAGATGCTGACCAATCAGAAGAGAGGGGATTATTATGGGGTCGTGTCCCACTGGCAGCAAAGAAAGAAGAAGGAGCTCGGCGTGCACCTCCTGTACAGAGCCATGCAGATCTTTCTGGCAGAAGGAGAGCGGCAGCTACGACCAGCAGACATCCGACAATAAGGAGCGGACCATGTGGAAACACTTTTACATGTTTAAATGATTCTGGTCCATTTCACTGTAAATGTTTAGAGAGAGTTGTAGCTTTTGGTTCAAGTCTTTTCACAAAATGGCAGCTGCACTGATTCTACATCTGGGATTATGTTTATGTGTTTCATAGTTTTTATACCATGTCTTGTGGACTCTACTGTTAAATTGTTTTTTTAACTCTTGTAGTTTTAATATTGTATCAAACGATGACATTAACGCTTGTAAAAATACTAGATTATGTGATTTAAATGTGATTTATTATTTTAGTGCTACACTTTTGTGTCCTATGGATTTGTTCATTTTCAGCGAATTTACTGTGTTATTTGTATTTGTAGAGATTTGGTACAAAAATAAATGTAACTGGATACACTTTGTTGTCTTGGTCTCCCTCTGGTGGTAAGATTTGTCATTACCGCATTAACTGCTTTTCATCTGATTTATAATGTATTATTTTATACTGTTCTGTAGCTTACATCCTGGATCTATGCCATATGGTCTCTCCCTATGGTCCAATACCATGTGATCTCTCCCTATGGTACATTACCATGTGGTCTCTGAATACTCGACCTAAATGTATTTTGTATAATATTCTGTTTTTTTTAAAGACAAAAGTAGTCCCTGTAACTTTAAAAAAATATATATATTCATATTAAATGTAAATTCATGTTTTTTTCTTTACAAAACTTATAAAGGTAAATTTCAAAACATTTAAAGCCACAAACTTAATAAATGTAATTAATCAATGGTTTGTTGTTTATTTTTGTAAAACAAGTCAAAAGCTTCAATGGTGGATCAGGTGAAAATCCACTGGAGGAATGCTAACTTTATGAAAAATGTTAATGAAGCATAAAACATTTTACTTTGGACCAGAGCAGAGAAAATGGTCTGAACCAAGCTCCACCTCTGCTGCTGTGACCTGAAGGACTGTTTTTATTATTACTATTGTTAGCAGTGGCGGCCGGCCAATAGAGGGCGCTAGGGCGCCGCCCCACCACTCACAACTTGCCATGTTACCTTGAATAAAACGTTAAAAAAAATAATAACATTAAAATATTTCGAAATGTATGTGTGTTTTATTTCAGATGTGGAAGAAATACTTTATAGTTTATGCTGAGTTGGATTGATTAAGCTCATCAGCGTTGTCTGTGTCGGACTGAGGACGTATTTCCGCCTCAGGGCGCAAAAGATTGCGCCCTGAGGCGTCTATGGACTCTCGTTAAAAGTTGTACATGCGCAGTAGCTCCTCTTCAATGCAAGAGATAAGACGATTTGGGGGCGCAGGAGAAGTGCGCCCTGAGGGGGCGGGATCGCCCGCGACCTGTACTGTCACTGTCTGTGACGTCCGTTTACAGTGATTGACAGGTCAAGCTGTGGGAATTTGAGACGAACGTAAAGAGACGCAAAATGGAGAACGAGAAAAAGAATAATTCAGTTAGATCACTCAAAACAATACCGTTTGAGAGAAGATCATACCAGGAGAAGGTTGAGGTTAAAGAGCTTGGACCTGATCAGCCAAATATTACCATTAGTAAGCAGTCCAGCGACAGGGGGAGACGGTACACTCGTACTTTTTCCAGGACCTGGTTCAGCGCCAAATCTTGGCTAGCAGCATGTAGCGAGGCTAATGCTTTATTTTGCTTTCCATGCCTCTTGTTTCAAACATCAGGATCTGACCCAGCATGGATCAAGACAGGTATGACTGATCTGAAGCACTTTTTAGAAAAGAAGCATGAGCAGACTGGTATCCACATGCAAAATGCCCTCAAATTAGCTATGTTTGGGAAGATAAATATTTCATCCCAGCTGGATGAAAGCTACAGGCCTGATCATGTGACCTTGTTGATTCTCGTGTGAGGCTTCAGTCACAACAGTCAGTGTAAACTTACTTACTGCTGATATATATCTAGTCATCATATTCATAGCCCCCCCAGTAGAAAATTCCACCAGCCGCCACTGATTGTTAGATACTTTTAGAATGATCTTTTTATTTGTTGATCTGCTGCTGCTACTGGACACCTGAATTTCTCCTACTGGGATCAATAAAGTATCTATATATCTAAAGCAGTAACTGTAGTTAAATACAGATACTACAGTACTCTGAATACTGGGATTACAAGTACTCAGTTACTCCCAACTCTGTCAATGATCAAGATTAAGAAAAGTCAAGGTTTATTTGGCACAGCCCAAAAACTGTCTCCAAATAAATCATCCTGGTCCAGCCTCAGAATCTTTACTGGGTGAGAATAATAATAATAATAGTAATTGAGACTCCGTTTTGAAGAAAGTTGTATTTCTTAACAATAATCTACATGTTTCTTATTGGAAGTAAATTTAAAAGGATTTTCTCAACAAAAGTGAAACATTATTTGTATTTTATAATATTATTATCATACGTATTATTTGTATGGCGCTCAAATACCAGGGACGTGCGGTGAGGTTTGTGATTGGGGAGGCACTGACTTTAAAAGTCAGATTTACAATCATTATTCAAATAAAATAGCATTTAATCACCAATGCAATGACATCCACAAACTTTATATACTGTAAAGATAAGAGAACCAGCTTCTTTTAATAATCTCACAACAAATCTAGCTGCTGACTCTGCTCCGCATCAAACAACATCTTTAAGAAGCGCAGGTGCGAGAGACGCGAGGAGAGAGAGACGCGAGGAGAGAGGAGCAGAGAGAGACAGAGAGGAGCAGAGAGACGGAGACGCGAGGAGCAGAGAGAGACGGAGACGCGAGGAGAGAGAGACGCGAGGAGAGAGAGACGCGAGAGAGAGAGAGGAGCAGAGAGAGACAGAGAGGAGCAGAGAGACGGAGACGCGAGGAGCAGAGAGAGACAGAGAGGAGCAGAGAGACGGAGACGCGAGGAGCAGAGAGAGACGGAGACGCGAGGAGAGAGAGACGCGAGGAACATAAACAATAATTTAAACAAGTTGCAGAACTCTTGAGCAGTGTTTGAATCAGTGTTTTTCGGAAAAGCACTACTTTGCCGGTATCTGTCAATGTTCAACATAAAACACAGATTAACAAACTCCTCCCCCGCAGCCGGACTAACCTCGTAAGTCCAGTGGTGGTCTCCCAGTCTATATTAATTCTTTCTTTGTTTGAAAGTCCAATTGAGAAAAAAAATCTTCATTCAAATCATCCATTTTCCAGCAAAAGAAATAGCATTTTGGGCTGATTGTTTGTTAGCAACTCTGGTATGAACTTTATGCTCACTATCACCCCTAGCGGTGAGGCACAGATACCGCCTGCCTCACGCCAAGCTTTTTCCTTGTGTGTTCATCTACGATCAAAAGACTTAAACTAAATATAAATTGTACACACATACGTGCAATACACTACTAAACACTAAGAGGAGTTTAAAAAATGTTTTTAAAGCAGGATATTTGAAACAAACGGTGATATATCAACTGCACGAGCTGAGTGCACTCAGACACACACACACACTGTGAGGGAGCGGTCTGGGGTGAGGCACGCAGGAGCGCTGCCTCACCTCGTCTCTTTGAATAGGAATAACGGGATTTCGGCGATTTTGACTTCAGAAATGATCAAAACTGATGGGAACCGTGCCGAATATACATTAAAAGCATAGGACAGTGGATATAAATTATATATTTAAACTAAAATAATTATTAGTTTCCAATAATGGCAGGTGAGGCTCTGCCTCCCCTGCCTCCCCTGACTGCACGTCCCTGTCAAATACCCCTGACTTTTCACAGAACTACTTTAAATTTAAGTCTGTCTAATATTTCTTCTGATGGTTCTTTTCTGTTTTTGCAAATTAACTTTTCAGATTTTATTCTTATTTTTTTCTGGTTTTAATAAATCTCCCACTTTTTCAAACTGAAACTACTCCTTATTTCATTTCATATTTAAAACAAACTAATGAATAAAGTCCATGAAGATATCTTATTAATTACGTCTCAAACTGAATCAAAAGCAAAACACGACAAAGACATTTTTAAAATTGTGTTATTTTATTTTTCCGTGAAACATTCAAGTCGACATCGGAGAAAGTAAACAACCACATCATCATCATCATCATCTTCATCGCCTCTTTCCCTTTTCCCTTTGATGAAATCTGGGACACAGTTGCATTCATCGTTCAGCGAGCTCTTCCTCAAAGTTAAACCCACCGACAGCAATGAATGTTGATTGTGACCTTTGCAGTGAAACGCCTGGAACCAACAACCTCCTGCTCCATGGAGTCCGCTGCATCTACTACAACCACGGCCGTACGACAAGAGGCTCTCCTTTGGCTGTGTTTGAGTCTAGTTTGCCCTGGCTGCTTCTCTGCAGAGGGGTCGGGGGTAAGGGGTGGATTTATTACTTTACTATTATATGTATGTATTTATATGACGGGACAATGCACATATATATATTTTTTATTTTTATTTCACCTTTATTTAACCAGGAAAGTCCCATTGAGATGAAGAACCTCTTTTTCAAGGGAGTCCTGGACATATAACACAAATGTAAATAAACCGGATAATAGCTACCAAGCTAGTTTTCCTCCGTAATCCCTATAGGCAGGAAATACTTAAATGATAACATACAATACAATATAATATACTATAATATACTATAATACAGGCAGCACAGGGACAAGAGCGCAGTGGTCACATGACTGGTTTGTGTTCAGTTTGAGCAGAATGGCGGTGACTAAACACAGCCCCGGGGTACAGTCAACGGTCGATGGTTTTCTTCATTTAGCTCAAACTCACCGACAGCGTTGAATGTTCGCCGTGGCGTGCGAGGTCTGATGGTGACAGGAAGTGACACGCTGCTCCAGGACGCACCGTGAGTCACTCCTGTGGCTGTGGCGCCGAGACACACACTCCACAAGCTCCTTAGAACACTGCACTAGCTCCTTATAGCTCCTTATATCACTTCTATAGCTCCTTATGTCACTTCTATAGCTCCTTGTGTCACTTCTATAGCTCCTTGTGTCACTTCTATAGCTCCTTGTGTCACTTCTATAGCTCCTTGTGTCACTTCTATAGCTCCTTGTGTCACTTCTATAGCTCCTTATGACACTTCTATAGCTTCTTATGTCACTTCTATAGCTCCTTATGACACTTCTATAGCTTCTTATGTCACTTCTATAGCTCCTTATGACACTTCTATAGCTCCTTATGACACTTCTATAGCTTCTTATGACACTTCTATAGCTTCTTATGTCACTTCTATAGCTCCTTATGTCACTTCTATAGCTCCTTATGACACTTCTATAGCTTCTTATGACACTTGTATAGCTCCTTATAGCACATTGTTATCGCCGTGATCAGAGGCAGTTCCTTCAGCGGAGTCGGAACAGCACAGATTCTTTATAAACGGCTATTGTTACATTTGTAGTTTTCTTTTCTTTTCATTTATGGTGTTTTTTGCAGTTGTTTTGTCATTTTTGGGATTTCATTTATTCTTTGATGACTTTTTAAAAAGCTAAATGTAAGTTAATAGGAAGCCTAAACTTTACCGATGTATTTTTACTCTTTTTGTTGTTGTTATAGTTTGTAAATGTACCAAAGTTGCTTGTGATTAATTATTACTCATTATTTCTATACTCACTCAAAATACATAAAAACATAAATGTCCTGATTCTGGGTTAAAACGATGCGATCAACAACATTTTTATTCTTTTCATTCGTTGATCCTCGACTGAAAAGGATTAGACGCAATTGCTCTAAACATTTCTGTCCTCGGCCCAAACTATATTTATTAAACCTACAAGAAATCACTGAGAGAGAGATCAGGATTCAGTATTAACGAAAATACCAATATCTCTTCATATTTTTGCAGTTTTAACTTTTGGAATTTAAATAAAAGTTTGGTCAACTTTCCATGGAGTAAAGATGGGAACTGCTCATTTCAGCAAAGAAAAAGAAGGAAATACGACTGAAACGGCCTCAAACAGAGTCACTTAACATCAAAAAGTTAAAATAATAAAATATGGCTGTTCCAGAGTCATTCATTATTTCATGTAGAACCACTTTTAGAAACTGCAGTCTCTGACACTCGCCTGAACCACGACCGGGAAACGACAAACTTAAAAAAGGAAGTTGTGTAGAAACCTTTGACTCATTGTGGTTTTTCATAAACAGAAGAATCTCAGGTTTCACAAAACACACTATAAAAAATGACTCACAACATCATAAAGCAGTGTATCATTAGGACCAGACACTACACACACTACACACGTGTGAAGTCTTGATCCGTAAGACTGAGAAAACACTTTTATGAGAGCCGTGAACAGATAACTTCAAAGTGAGTCAACCTGCGGTGATGATGCAGAGTTTGTCAGAGGTTTTTAGTGTTTACGAGAAGTGATGTGGAGAGAATGTTTATTATTTAGCTCCATATTCTCCCATAAGTGTCTTTCAGCCATTGTTCCCTCGTCTAAAACAGTCCTCTGTCTTTCTAAATAGATATTTCCTGTCTATAAAATGAGTTTGGACGATTTCTCAGGTGGAATTATGTCCTTTAAAACCGCATGAGTGTGTTTGCAGCTCCCTCTGGTGGTGGAATAGGGAATTACAGGCGGAAACATAGTGTATTTTTTACCCTTTTCAACTGAAGAAAATAGTTCACATTCTGAAACATGAAATGACAAAGTGAATAGTCTCATTATCATCATTAATGGTCAGAAATAATGTATAGTATTACTTTTTAAGGTAAAGCAAATGTAGCCATCCATCCATCCATTTTCTACCCTTTAATCCATTTCTGGGTCAGGGGGGTGGCAGTCAGAGATGCCACCCAAGTCTCATAGCACTAGCCCCTCACTGACCCTCTGCAGGTGGTGAGTCCACAGGAGGACTCACCACCTTCTTCAAAGAAACACAGATAAAAAGGTTTAGAGCCTTAAAGTATTATTAAACTCATATATGCTGTGGTCCCTTGATATAAATAAAGCCGTTTTCCTTTAGCGTTAACCTATTTTTGTCAAATTGTCAGTAGACAATTTGCCACAAACCAAAGCGCTGTGAGCCCAAACCACAACTTCAGTTTTTGATTGACAGCTCTGGACGTGACACAAGTGGATGAAAAAGTAACGATGCCTCATAAGGTCTTGTCTGGCCCCGGGACCTGGACCAGCGAAGAAGAAGGATCCGGTTGGAAGTTGGAGAAGGGAGGGCCGCGAGCTGACGATGTGGCCCAAATTTGAATGACAAGGTCTGCAGCATCAGCCCGGCCGGGAGGGGGGACGGGGGCGGGGGGCCGAGGGGGGGTTGACGATGAGCGAGGAGCTGGAGAAATAGGAAGTGACAGAGGAAGAGGAGGCGAGAGGGTGTCCTGCCGTCAGCTGGACTGGCCTTAATGGCACCGACAGCTCTGACATTTAACAACCGAGTCATTTTGAGATAAATCCGGGCGGTTTTGTGTAAAGAGACATTGCTTTTGGCGAAATTTAATGATGTAAAAAAAATGAATCATGAATTACATAAAAAACAGAGGTTGGCAGATGGGGGAAAATCAACAAAATGCGAAAAACAATAAAAATTGTAATAAACTGTTAAAGATTTGTAGAAATGACTAATTTAGAAAGCTATTTAAAAAGCTGGGGTACCTACATTTTAAGCCATAAATAATGCCTCTATGTACAAGAAAGTATGTACAAAAAAAATGAGTTTTTAGATCTACTTTTTCAGACAGAAAAGTGAAACCATTACAACCTCAGCTCTCGCCCAAAGTGTCAAATAGTGACTCTCAGGGCTCGCTCTTAACACGACAAAAACGGCATGTTTTTTTTTGTCTGATGTTACATTTACAAACGTCTTTCGGTCGGGACAAAACAAAATGTATTATTGATGAAAAAGAGGCCTTAGTTTATCCCTTTGTCATAAACAGCAAATAAAGAGCTGATTTGTGTAAAATTCATGGGCAGTTATCGCTTAATTGCTATTTATTAAGAAGTTATTAATTCATAATTCTACATCTAACTAACTGACACTATGGGGGAGGGGTTAGGGTACATTAATTATCATTTAATTAGCGGCTAATTAGTAAAAAGTGCTACCGAAGAAGAAAGTTTATACCCCGGCTTTACGAGTTCTGAGTTGATCCTATTGTTTGTGATCGTTGGTGTCGCTAAGAATAGAAATGCAAACGTACATTTTCCCGCGTTCCCATTTCTAAACACCAGAGAGCGGCGTTTTAGTCTTTGAAGTTAATTCCGACCCAGATATTCAGAATTTAACTAACGCAGAGAAACAAAATGGGCGCCTGTTTTTCCACCGAGATTTTCTGACCACATTTCACCATTGTCTCCAGATTATTCAGAGTCCCCTGGCTTCGTGCACCTCTCCCTCGCCGCGGTTGTCTCCTGAGGGGGGAGGACATTCCTGGCCTGGCGCGTGTGTGTGTGTGTGTGTGTGTGTGTGTGTGTCTGCTGAGCGCCTGCAGGTATGGACCGGTCTCCTCTGTCTGTCTGCCTGTCTGCTGATATCAAACTGCGACGTGATCTGTTTAGCTTCCTGACTTAATACTCACCTGCTCTTCCCCTCCAGGTGGCTGTGTGTGAGTGTGTGAGTGTGTGTGTGTGTGTGTGTGTGTGTGTGCGATTCCATTTCCTCAGCACTGCATTGTGTCTCCTCTGCTTCCTCTGCTGTTTGACCTGCAATTATAAGAACATACAGAGAAAGGCAGATTAACTTTGGGTGAAGGAGAGGCTGAGTGAGGTTAGCAAAGTTAAAGTCGGTTTTCGTTCCCATCTGTGTGTGGATTGTTTATGACCCAAAACATCTGTTAATGCCAATATTTAACAGCAACTAACTCCCTCATTATTACTATGGTCCATAAGGTACAAAGTCAAAGAGAGAAATAATGAAAAACAATGTGATCTTCAGCGCGATCCCAGACTGAAAAAATAAGACTTTGTTATATTTGTGTCACAGCAATTTTGAAAATTTGTTAATGAACTAATTCTCAAAATGCTGTGACACAAAAATGCCTGTGTCAGTATTTTCATATATTTCAAACTTGTAGTGGATTTTACAGAACAAATGGCGTTCTCCGTTTTGTAAAGAAATTTGGACAATTAGAATTATCTTTCAAAAGTGTATTTATTAATTAAACTGTGGCACGGTTTTTGTTTTCTCCTGCGTGTTTGCTTTGGTTTCCTCCAGGTGCGCCGGTTCTCCCTACCACTAAAAATATGCACAATAGTTCTGGCAGCGCCCCCTGTAGGCAACCTTGCTCCCATCTCTGTGTGGAGCTGTAACAACAAATGTAAAGTTATGACTGCTACTTCTGTTGTATACTCTGTGTGCTCCCTGTGTCTCTCACTACTGTCCTGTCTGTGCGCTGCAACACTGACATTTCCCCGCTGTAGGACAAATAAAGTTTCTCTCTTCTTATCTTACGTTGTGAAAACTTTTGAACAAAATCCCAACTTTCAGATTCCCACTTTTAAAACGATGGCTCTCTGTCTTCCACCAAACACCACATCACACTCTTCACTTTCCTTGTCTTCTCCCTCACCTCTTGCCTCCCCCTTCCCCTTCCTCCCCCCTCCCTCCCCACTTTTTCTCATCCTCTCCCACCCCAAATTCCCCACTGGTGCAGAGGGACTGACTCCACATGGTCCACTGCACAACCATTAGATGTGACGAGTGCACGGCCTGAAACAACTGCGGGAGAAAACGCAAATCAATATTTCAAGGGTGACTTCAAATATGAATCTCTTTTTTTCGGCGAAACGTTACAAAACAAGAGAGAGAAGAAGAAGAGAGAACAAGAAGAGAGGAGCCGAGACTCACATCGGCAGTGTCAGAAAATGAATAATATCTGGCTGTCTGGGAGAAATGGAGGTTGTCTATCTCAGCCGCACGCGCAAGACATGGCTCCGCGGGGCGCCAAATAATAACCTTCCTTATCATTATCATCGGCGAGCCCAAAGATGCCGCCTCCCTCCCTCCTCCCCCTCCCCCAGCCGCCTCACCCCCCCATCTCCCCCTCCCGCCCGACCCGACCGCCTTCAACGCAATCATAGCCCTATCGTTTACAGTGCGCTGCTAAATGGGAACATCAATAGACACATCCATTAGCAGCCGCTCTCTGTGCGTTCTCAAGTGCTTTAATAGTGGAAGACGCACACAGACACACACACACAGACACACACACACACACAGACACACACACGCAGACATGGCCCAGTGTTAACCAGAGCCGTGGCCCGCCGTGAGGTGATGGAGTGGGCCATTACAGCTGGTTATGGCACTAATATGGTTAGAGCAGAGAGTGGAAGAGCAGAGAACCAGGATGGAGCAGGTTTGGGAGAGGAAAACGTTTTGTCGAAGGATTTTGGGAAAGATTTAATTGTTTGTGGAGCACGTTCCTCTGAAAAAGCAGGAATCGGTGCAAAAATCTGCTCAGGGGCGCGGTAAAAATGTGTTTTCATATATAAATGTTTGTTAATTTGTTCCATCCATCCATATTCTTCCCCTTTGTCCATTTCTCCTGCTCTGTCAGTGGGAGCTTCGGGTAAAGTGGGGTTTAGTGTCTTGCCCAAGGACACGACAGCAGACATCGATTGGAGTCAGTGGAGAAGGTCTCGTGGTGGAATCGAACCCGCAACCGCAGGCTCAAAGGCCAATGCTCACCAAAGGATTTAGAATTCAACACTTGATCCTGAATGAATCCATTTTGAGTCAAAACAAATCTATTATAAGTATAAATATAACGTTATACAGTATTTTAGTATCGTTTACATGTGTAGCAGTAGCTCTCTGCCTCTTCTGTGGTATAGAAGTAGCTCTCTGCCTCTTCTGTGGTATAGAAGTAGCTCTCTGCCTCTTCTGTGGTATAGAAGTAGCTCTCTACCTCTTCTGTGGTATAGAAGTAGCTCTCTACCTCTTCTGTGGTATAGAAGTAGCTCTCTGCCTCTTCTGTGGTATAGAAGTAGCTCTCTGCCTCTTCTGTGGTATAGAAGTAGCTCTCTACCTCTTCTGTGGTATAGAAGTAGCTCTCTGCCTCCTCTGTGGTATAGAAGTAGCTCTCTTCTTATACATATTTAAGATAAAAGTTGCTTTAAGGGTGTTTCCAAAAGATAATTATGTTTTATATTTTGTATTTGTAATAAACTGAGTCAATGGTATAAAGAAGTTCCAGTTTTATCGTTTAAATACTTTCTAAATTTCCACCAAAGTGAGTTATTATGAAAGGCCTAATATTTGATTACTACTTGAAAAACATTTGGTAATCTGACTTCTTCTCATTTGAGCCTTTGGATTGAAATACACATAAAATACATGTGCGTTTATATGGGAGGAAATACTACAAATATGAAAAATACTACTCTAAGCTCAAGTATTTCATTGATTTCCAAAAGTCCAGGTACATCTTTTCACATTTCACCCCAAAAACCTGAGTTTGCAGCAGTTATTATTTCACGTTTCAGTCTATGCGTCTTCTTGTCGTTTGAACCTCTCCCGTCTCTGAACTGCAGCTATTTCTAAAACTTCAAAGAACGTGTTCGAGCCTTAAAATAATCTCGCACATTAATGCTTTCTCTAACCTCGGCCTGAACTCCGAAGCACGCTGCAGCAGATGGAAACGAACCACGGCCTGAGTGACAGCTTGATGGGCCTGGAACCAAAATCTCCAACGCAAACAGACGAAGATATAAAAATGGGTGGATTTTGGGGGAGGGAGGGGGGAGAGAGGGGGGCGGAGCTAGCCACAATGGTCCCTCACACACTGTAATTTCAGGCAGGATGCTGGACCCACCCAGGGCCCAGGGAGGGGCTCTGGGTGGGTTTTGGGTTCGGGACTAGTCCAGGGGGGGCTGTGGAATATGCTACGTGAGTCTGAGTTTAGTCGTAAAAGCTGGAGAAGCAGAAAAATCCATATTTCGAGGGGAATAGAAAGTTATGGCTGCAGTGAGACTTGTTACTTACTGGATTATGGCGACTGGAGGAGACTGGGACAAGTGTCAGCTCAGACCGTGGTGGTTTACGTCTGTTTTGTCCGGACCTGGAATAGAACAAAGAAAGGAAAATGTTGAGTCCAGGTGTTGCTTTTATCCTACCATAGAATTAAAATGTTACGTCACAATGACTCGAAATACAGAAATCAAACCAGTTCTGTTTTAGCCGTAGATTTATTTATTTATTGTTTATTTGGTTGGGACAGTACATGTTCATGAACACATCACTCCGGATTGTAGCCGTGGGTTAACATTCGCACTCACAAACACACACTCATTCACCCTTATTGTTCATTATATGTTTTTAGTGGTAGGGGAAACCAGAGCACCCAGAGGAAACCTACGCAGACACAAGGAGAACATGCAAACTCCACTCAGAAAGGCCCTGTTCCGCCCGGGATTCGAACCCAGAACCTTCTTGCCTTAATGTGCTGTGATTGTTAATTTGACTTTATTTTCCTATTTTCAGAACAGCGCTGTACAAACTTACTTTCCCATTTACAATAATAGTTTTTCTGTTTTGTTATTTGTGTATTTATAATGGTGATTTTACGAATATCTTTTGTGTAGATACCAAGTCTTACTTTTTAACTGCAAAAAGAATCTTCCCACAGGTGAAAAATAAAGTCACCTTGAACCTTTGAGTGATTCCCAGGGTTTTGAACAAGACTGTGTTAAACTTTAACTATAAAAACTATAAAAATAAAAATCTAAATTATAAAAAGGCACAATACACTTCCACAAAACACCAGCAACATACATTGCTGGTGTTTTGTGGACATTCAATATGAAAGAGAATGGATAGGTTTCTCTGGCTTTGAATTCCATTTTTCTGTGAATGCTACGTGCTAAATGTTCTGTGCTGAATGCTACGTGCTAAATGCTTAAGTGATGAATGCTACATGCTAAATGTTCTGTGCTGAATGCTACGTGCTAAATGCTTAAGTGATGAATGCTACATGCTAAATGTTCTGTGCTGAATGCTACGTGCTAAATGCTTAAGTGATGAATGCTACATGCTAAATGTTCTGTGCTGAATGCTACGTGCTAAATGCTTAAGTGATGAATGCTACATGCTAAATGTTACGTGCTGAATACTAGCGTTAGCCTTAATGCGAAAGAGGCTGACGAGAGCTAACAAAAACACTGCAAAAATAGATCAAACATGTGGAAACAATTTCTTGAATCAAGTGTTTTTTTAGCTTAATTTAAGAATATGTTTGTTCCAATTGGACAAGCTATTTTGTCTTATTTCAAGGAATTTTGCCTCATTTTCTCAAGGAGACATTTTGTCTGGATAAATTAGCTAAATCATCTTGTGTTCCCAGGCCAGAGAGATAGTTCCTCTGTGTCCTTGGTCTTCCCTTGTATATGTATCAATGTAAGTCAATAGGAGCCAGAGCAAGTTGACGCAAAACTCCATCCAAGAGCATTTCCCTTGCCTCATTGAGCTAGCTAGCCTGTCAGTACAGAGTCTATGTCCTTGCTACACCATAGTTCTACCACTCAGTCCTCTTCATGTGAACAGTCTGTGTGGTCTTCAGGCCTGACAGCAGCGATCCATCTCTGTTTCCACTGCACGTATTTTCAAAAACACAAACTTTACGTCTTTGTGTCTTGTGAGAAATCTCCTTTGAAGCCATTTCACTTCCTGTAAATCAGAAGTTGAAAAGCCCAAAGACCTGTGATGATGTTGCCTCCGTCGCTTTGTTCAATGAAGATATCACTTATTCTCTTTTAGTCGCTGCTCCAAAAGCACAATACAGATGTTTTGGATAATGGTAGAAGTGACTGTAATGTAAAATATAAAAGTGACTGTAATGTAGAATATAAAAATGACTGTAGTGTAAAATATAGAAGTCTGACGCCCGCAGCACAGCGAGGCTCACACAGAATTCATTATCAAACAGAATTTCTGAGCGGAACATCTTCAGTTGACCAGATGTAAAGTCAAAGAGGAGCGAGAAAAGGAATCTGTGAAACCTGGAAAAGCAGCAGGGGCTGATCATGTGACCAGCACTAGTTCAATCTGTGGACACACTACAGCAGATATATTATTACTATTATTATTATTATAGTTAGGGATTAACCAGTACTACTGCTTAAAAAACAGATATTAGTACCTAAAAGCAGGCATGTCCAAACTCAGGCCCGGGAGCCAATTGCGGCCCTCAGTGTCAGTGAATTCGGCCCTCTGCCTTGCTAACCCAAACTAGTCTTTGAGGTCATAAACACAAGTTCACTGTGTCATCCATCCAACTTCAGCTCAGCCTATATAGACCTTGTTCTAAAGCCCAGTACGTCTGGAGTTGACTCGTGAGATGTAAACATGTGTCATTCAGCTAACTTCAGCTCGGTTATAGATCTTTTTAAAGCTCAGAACAGCCTGATACCAGTCAAGACAGTTTCTCAGTCCGTGATGTCGGGCCCTGGACTGGTCTGAACTAAAGTGGCTCTTACTATAATGTTTGGACACCCCTGGGTTATTATGAGTACTTGCTGATACCAAATACTGATACGAGTAACTACTACTCCATAATCCCTGGGAAATCATAAAACTAATACTGAAATGTAAAATGTTTTATTTCTCATTTTAACAATAATAAAATGCTTTTACTATTAAACATTTCAGCGATTGTTTTAACAGTCTACAATAAAAGCCTGTTATATTCCACTCATACAAATGCTACAAAGATACAGCTCTGGTGCTAAAGGTGCTAGCAAAGGTGCAATACTCTGTGAGTGCAGGTGAGTTTTCAGATGTTTTAACAAGTTGCTGCTGTTTGTGTGAAACTGTCACGAGGTGGATCCAAAACAAAGTAAAGTCTGCTTTACTCATCACTCTCCTTAACTTAAAAAAACTACCAACATCCTGTCCGCTTGCCGATAGCTTGCGTCCCGCTAGCCCAAAACAACAAAATTGCTACAAGCCGAGGACCGGACTCGTTCAATGTCCAGACTCACAGACATGAACATGAAATACTGTACATAATCCAATATATTCTTAATATATATTGCCCCGAGGTCATTCATTTTGGGGCCGGATCTGGCTCTCGGGCCTTGACTTTGACACCCATGGATTAAAAAGATTTTCATCACAAGGTTAATTTGTTTTGTAGTTTGACAGTTAGGCTTTAAGCTTCACCAATCCTCTCACACATCGTGACATTAAATGTATCATTTCATGTAAATAATCTCTGTATCATGAATTAAAAGCACAGATTATGCAGTTTTCCCAGGACGCTAAAGTCTTAAAGTTTGCCTTTCCAGAGAACAATGGCCGACCTTGGCCGGATGAGAAGTTGTGAGTATTGTTCATCTTTGCTTTGATGTTAAACACAAAGAGCCACAGCTGACGCACAAATGGAAGCGGTTAAGTTGGGTTCAAGACCCTCCTTTGTTAGGTCTGTCTCAGTTCACTGCAAAATATACGTATATACAACCTTTTCACTTATCACAGAGTAGAGAAAATCTGTGGTATTTCCCATTAGGATCCATACAATTAATATTCAAGTCTGTTTTTTCAGTATTTATGTGTCTAAATGTTATACACTGTATGAGTCTGTTCTAGATTTATCTAATTCTGCTTTTGTGTTCTATTACTCTATAAAACTGAAAAGTAGAAATAGCACTTATTCTACCTTCACTGTCAGGGCTCTACCACTGGCTTCCGTAGCAACAAGATTTATTCACTAAAAATAACACAAACCCAACAAAAACACATATTTTTTTAGCTGTGATTACGACTGATTCTATTTTGTACTATTTATGTAACTTTTTAAACCTACTTTTTAATGAGTTTTAAACCCCACACTTTTACGCTGCTGTTTTAATATGAAATAATTGTATATTTATTGACTTTTTAATGCATTTTTGTGTTTGAAAAGCTTTGTAACAAATTGTGCTATACGAATAAATGATTCATTGATAAATGATGCTTATTTTTGTAAGTGTTTGTTTCTTGAATGTAGTTTGTCATAAGATTATTTTACTAGTTTTAAGCATAGACTGTATATATTAACGGACAGAGTCACGCCTATCTCCGCCGTTCTAACTAATGGGCCAGAAATAATGCTCTACTGGAGCTATCCAAAATGACCGCGAGTGGTCCCGCCCACAAGAAAATTGTGAAAGAACGCATCTGCGCATGCGTCAGCTGGCGAGAGCCCCATTTATTTGAACGAGAGACTTCAAAAATTCACAGCAAGTAAACTAGAGTGGACCAAAAAGATTCACCCCCCCCCCCCTCAGCATTGACACACATGTGGAATGGAGGTTTGGGCAAAGAGCCAACTTTTGGACCATCCTGTAAATAAGTTTTCGAGGGGGTCTGCCAACGCTATATGTTAGCATTGGCTAATTCTTCTTCTGGGTCCACCCCATCGGCCCGGGGTGGTATTGCAAGCATGTCAGCGCATGTCATTTTGGCCACTTCTGAGCCGGGACCCGCCCCCACTGGTTTTAAGATAATAATTCTTCATAATCCTATCAGAGAAAAAAGTCTGAGCAGTGAGTTTTTAAGATTGTTTTAAGTATATTTTCTTATTTCCAGACTTTTCTTGTTTAGATAAAATACAGCATCACAAACTTATTTTAAGAAAACATAAAAAAAAAATAAGAAATAAGTAAATAACACTTGAAATGTATGTTTTTAAACTAGAATCAAGTCGTTTGGGGCAAGTTTTATTAGATTATTTTCAGAAATCTTAATTCATATTTTCTTGTTTTATTGTCAGATCATTTTTGTTATTTTAAGCAGTATTTTACTTGTTTTCATAGATTTTTTAAAAGTGTTTTTCCCAGTGTTGTAAATAAATACATAAAACTGAAAAATGTCTATCAATTTCCAAAAACATTCTGAAGCGTTTTATTATCTCCTTGTTCACACTGGGGACTCTTGCAGGTGTACTCCAATGGGGTTTTACTGCAAAGGCCAAATAAAACCGAATCTGAATCTGACTAAAACAGAGAAGTACAGTGGTTTTAACTTCCACCCATCCATCCATTTTCTTCCGCTTCATGCGTTGTCGGGTCGCGGGGGCAGCAG